CTCAGGAACGTACTGTTTATCTTCTCTATTCCAAATATTGGGTTTGAGACTAGCAAAGGTTAATATGGATCCACAGTTTCATCTGTACAAGTACATAAACTGTCTGTTGTGTTCTTCTCCTAGACGTTGGCCCTACTGTCAGCCCTTCAAGAGAAGAGGATGTTCAGTTCCTGGGCCTGGCACTGGATACGACAGAAGCCCAGACTGCTTTGTACGTCCTCTTCTCTTTTGTGCTTCTTGGAGTCTGTGCTGTGGGAATTCTGCTGTACAAGTACTGTAATCGCTCCAAGCAAGAGAAAACACAAGCAGACCAACAAGAACTGAGTCCTGTTTCTTCATTCTGACCCATAAGTTGCCACCTTCTCCAGGATTGTGATCTAGGCCTAGTTTCTTGATCAGCCTCTGCCACCCAAATGACTCCTTGAGATCTCACATTCTGCCCACACTGGACTGCTTCTTAAAGGCCTTTTTGCCACTTTAGTCTGCAAGATCTCAAGTCCCAGATTAAAATAATCAGTATCTTGCTCTGGCATTAGCAATTCATTTGCCATGCGATAGCCTGTGAAGTAGCACTGGGAGAAATGAGAAGATTCAGAATTTGTCTGGTGGGTCTGAGTCACTTTAATAGAACAGGATAAATATCTGGGAAAATAGTCTGGTAATGGGACATAAAGATAAAAAAAGAGACTAAACATAAATCCAGGTATATGAAGATCAAGTACATGGTGGCATGCCACACCGAGGGAAAGAAAAAATTCTTCCATAAGCTGTGGTGGGTCAGCAGGTAAACTCTGGAGGAGTATGTTAACCACAGGTATTAGGAAAGAGCCAGATTCCTTCCCTGGATACAAGACTGAAATGTACACACAACTCCCCAGCACCGTCCCCCCACCCCATGAAAGCAAGAGAATACAAAAGTATGTTTTAAAATTAAATTTTTAAGTGGGAGGAGCTGGAGCAACAGTATAGCAGGTTAAGTACACCTCGCATGTGGCCAACCCAGGTTCAGTCCATGTCATTCCATATAGTCCGAGTCCCTCTAGGAGTAATTCCTGAGTGCAGAGCCAGGAGTAACCCCCGAGCATCACCAGGTGCGGCAAAAGTATTTTATGAAGTGGGAAAAGTATTTTATGAGATTATGATCCAAAGACCATAAAAACACTAATAAAACCAATGAGGAAACATTACCATCAACATACTCATTGAAGAAAAAAGAAAAAAGGGCAGGTAGGTGGTTCAGTAGAACCCACTTTTGTATATGTAATGTTCTGGGTTCAATTCAGACCAAAACAAATGGGACACATATTTAAGGCATGGGGCCAGAGTGATAGAACAGCGGGTAAGGCATTTGCCTTGCATGGGCTGACCCGGGTTTGATCCCCAGCATGCCATATAGTCCTTTGAGCACCACCAGGAGTAATTCCTGAGTACAAAGCCAGGAGTAACCCCTAAGCATTGCCAGGTATAACCCAAAAAGCAGAAAAAAAGAAAGTATTTAAGTTATATGCTAGAAAAGGGGCTAATTTCCTTAACATACATGAAATTCTTTTACTTTTTGCCACACCAGACTGCTAGGGGCTAGTCCTGAGGGGGATGATGAGATGGCTAAGAATGAACAGTGCTCAAAAAATAAATCAAAATGGCCAACAATATTAGAGGATGTTTCATTCATGATCAATACAGTGAAAAGAAAATGCATATAATTTTTTGTCTATCATGGTGACAAAGATGAAGTCCAATTGTCTTGTCAGGGAGGTGAGGAAATATTTTCACGCACTGTTGGTTGGGGTGTACACATTTGTAAAATGTCATAGAGGAAACTTGACAGCACCTTTTCTCTTGTTCTGGGGTTTGGGGGCCACATCCAGCAGTGCTCAGGCCTTACTTTACTCCTTCTTGGCTCTGGGCTCAGGGATCACTTCTGGAGGAGCGGGGGGTACCATATGGGGGTGCCAGGTCTGTGCAAGGCGAGTGGCCTATTTGCTGAACCATCTCGTGGGCCTCACAGCAGCCCCTTTTCTAATACAAAACTGCAAACAATGACTCAGCAAAAGTTCCCTAAAGGTACCGTTATTTGCAACTACTTAGTACTTGCAATTTACTGTAGCAATATTTATAGTAAAAAATTCAGATTTGTGATAATCAATAAATGTCAGTAGAGAATACTAAGTAAGTTGGGATAGGCTCACAAAATAGAACACTATGCTTCCATTAATAAAAATGAGGCAGTTTATAGTATGTTGAAAGGAAGAGATCAACACGAAGCATAATAGCAAGATGCAGAATTGTATATGACCCTATTTACTTAAAAATAAAGATTACATATTAGCTGATATTCATAAGATTACAAAAATAAAGTATTAGTATCTGGCAATATAACGGGGGTTAAAATTGAAGCTTGAAAACTTCATTTTCAATTTATAACCTTCTATAAGGTTTTGAATCTTTTCTGGGATGCTTGGGAGGAGGGTTGAGTCACACCTGGCAGTGCTCATTGACTGTTCTTGGCTGTATACCAGGAGTGACTCAGGGGATCAAGTGTGGTACTAAGAATTCAGACTGGGGTTGGCAGAATGCGTTTCAGTAAACTTAATCTCTGTACTACTTCTTCAGCCCTATTTTGAATCTTTTTATTATGTTTATTTTTTTTGGGTCACACCCAGTGATCAGGGGTTACTCCTGGCTCTGCATTCAGAAAATATTCCTGTTGGTGCTTGGGGGACCATATGGCACGCTCGGAATCGAACCCAGGTCAGCTGTGTGCAAGGCAAACACCCTCCCCGCTATCCTATTGCTCCAGCCCTTCATCTTTACTTATTTACTTATGTAAAAACTATTAGAGGCTGCCCCAAAAGCCTCCGTCCCTTTTGGAGAGTCCAGCAAGCTACCAAGAGTACCCTGTCCACATGGCAGAGTCTGGCAAGCTACCCGTGCTGTATTTGATATGTCAAAAATAGTAAAAGTAACAGGTCTCATTCCCCTGATCCTGAAAGAGCCCCCAGTACGCAATTGGGCTACACTATCATGCGACAGAGACAAATGGAGACATTACTGGTTGAGCAAACTGATGAACGGGATGACAAGTAACAAGTGATTTAGATATAAAATAAGTAATCATAAAATAAGTAATCATCCTCCTATTTAAAGATCATAAAGCATTTTTCTATGGATATTTTTCTTATATATATATATGGTTTGGGGGGCACACCTGGCAATGTTCAGGGCTTATTCCTGGCTCTGTGCTCAGGGATGACTCCTGGCAGGCTCAGGAGACCATCTGAGGAGCTGGAGACAAAACCCAGGTTGGCCACATGCAAGACAAGTCCCTTACCTACTGTACCCCCTTACCAGCTCCAACCTTATATTTGATTCTTTGAAAGACAAACTGACTTGAGGTATTCCATGTTTTTTGTAAATATATTTCTAATAGTTACTTATAGAGCTACACTAATTTGACAATTCTTTTTTCAAGTCTCAGTGTTATAAAGATGACAAACTTCACTTAAATGAGATGGTTGCTGGAGATAATTCATTTTCAAACTCACTTTCTAAATTATGAAAATATGATCACTGCAGAAAATTAGAAAGTGTTAAGGAGAACTAAAATTACACTAACCATTTTCACCATTATTGGGATTTTAGTGTTTTCCTTTACATATCCATTAATCTATACTACTACCTACACACACACACACACACACACACACACACACACACACAAAGATGTATAGACTGTGTTTACAAAACTGCATTTATCATACTGTATTTATAATTTTGTACCCTGCTTCCTTCCTCCTGCCCCCCACAGATACAGGCAATTATAGGGTGAGTTAATATTGTACCATTTCTCATTAAAAATGATTTCTGTAGAAGGTAGTTGGTTCGGGTTATTAAGGAAAATAAACATCACTTATGTTTACATTGAGTTTTGCATTTATAAATTTATGACCATTCCTTAGAAAAAGTCAGTCAACTAGCCAGAAATACCATTCAGAGATAGAATGTGTGATTAGGAATGCATGCAGCTCTAAACTCAATCCCTGTGCTGAATCAAAAAGCATGAAATATTTGTTTCTGAAAATGGCTTCAAGTTTTCACCAATCCTACTAATATTATATCCTGTCTATATTCTTGCCAATACTCATTTGTTGGGGCTGGGGAAACACTACACTTCCCATTACAGTAGTTGTCATGTTCCCAGGGATATCCCTGCAGTGCTTGATGATATGCCATCTGGGGTTCAGACCCTACCTACCTTCTTAGCACTTCGAGGGGGCTATAGTAGAGGTGCTTTGGACCACCTCTGGCAATGCTCAGGGATTTTCCTGTCTCTGTTCAGAAGTAACTCCTGGTGGTACTCATGTGACCATATGTGGTGCCAGCCATGTGCAAGATAAAGGCCTTCCCCTGTACTATCTCTCTGGAATTCTTTCTCAATATTTTTAAAAGTCAGTGTTGGGTGGGAGGGTTGTACAGCAGTTAAAAAAAAAATCGCCTTGCACAAAACATGCATGGTTTGATCCCCCACACCACAGATGGTTCCCCAATCACTTTCTGGAGTGATGTCTGATTACAGAGTTAGGAGCAAGACTTGCTCCTAACTGGGTGTGGGATCCCCCGAAGCCCCCACAACTATTTCATACGCAAAGCTTAAGAGTACTTCTCCAATCATAAAACAGAATCCGAATCCTTCTGTATGCTTACTCTAGTGTGCTGCTCTCCAACCCAGAGACAGGTGATTATAACTGTCACATTTATCTGATAATAAATACAAACCCTGACTCTACACAGAATGATGCCTCTCTGAAGTTGAGAGAGTTACTTAAGTGTTCATGTGCGTAAGAAAGTTCTTTTTCTTTCTTGGTATTTAAGGTGAGATACTTGAGGGTTCCTAAGCACGGAGGGCTGGGCTGGGAATCAGACTCATGACCTCAACAGAGTCCTGTGAGGAAAAAAAGGTGCTAGTATAACAAGTGAAAGCAAAAATAAGATCATTATAATTTTTGGAAAAGATTTTTTATTCAGTATTTTAAGATTAAAAACTACAAGATTTTGCTTGCAGCTGATGAGCAAAAAGAGAAAGTTAAACATAAATTATCATCTGATTGGCTAGTTAAAATGCTCTGACTCACAGTCAAATTTCTCAGGGACATACATTTACTTAAGAATGGACTTAAGAGTTTTGGAGCAAAATAGCTCTGAACAAAACATACCATCTGAGAGTACAGTACAGGGCTAAGAGGAATATGAAATACTGAGTAAGAAAGCTGAGAAGGGGAGGTTGTGGCAAACCTTCTGATTCTTTTAAGCTTCTAGCAGTTGGTTACCATATGCAAGGACCTAGCAGCTAGTTATTTTATCTTTTGACTTGTCTTGAGTTAAACAACTTTAACCCACTAAGCAGGAATAAGGAGACTTTATAGATCAGGTGAAAAACATAAAGTAGTCCCACTTCTCCAGCAGAATTTTAGTTGAATTAAATCATAAGAGAAACAATGATTATTGCACATATTGTACTTGTCACTACATCTGTTGAGTAGAATTCCCATTCCAAGTGTTGTTTTCATCTTCTCCATCATCTTGAGTCCTCAGTCTATATATCTTCCCCTCCTTTTTAAAATCTTCCCCCCGTTTCTCCAGCACTCTTTTCCTCACTGGTTCCCTGATATAACAAGAGAGAAAAAAAGAAAATATAAAATGAAAATAACAGTAATACAAAGCTGTTTCTGTTAAAGTTTCATTGTATAAGCAAATGTATTCCATTAACTTTCCTTACCATCAGCTGGAATGATCTATTCAATAGTAAGGCATATGTGAGGGACCTTGAATCAATTACCAGCACATGCACACACACACACAAATACACATATTTTTTTACATATATTTTTAAATAAATATTTTAAAATTATATCTAACATAATAGTAAACATTATATAACTTTATCTGTTCTCCAAGCCAAACCAACCAAATTTTTTTCCATTCTAAGTATTCTTGATGACTAAGAATAGTGGAAATCCTTGCCAACACATTTATTTATGCAGCATAAACACAGGATCTTACAGGCTATCTAAAGTCTAATTTATAGAAATGATCAATTACTAATTCTTAATCTTTTCATAATCTTGAAAGAATAATTAGGGGCCAGAGAGATAGTACAACAGGTAGGGCACTTCCTCCACACACAGCCAACCCAGGTTTAATTCCTGCCTTCCCACATAGTTCCTTGAATGGTCCCTTAGGGAAAAAAATCTGTCTTTTGACTTGTCTTATAATTACAGAATAAAAAGGATTCAGTAAAGAAAATGAAAGCAGCAGAGGTGAAGCAGGTTTTTAGAAAGATGGCTGAGTAAATACAGTGAAATTCCAAGGAGAAGGGATACGCCTAAGTTTCGGAACTTTCTCTCCCCCCTTCCCCTCCAACCCCAAGTTTTTTTGTTTCGTTTTGGACACACCTAATGATGCTCAGGGGCTACTCCCAGCTTGAGATACAGGGCTCCATGGGGTGCTGGGACTCAAACCCGGGCCTCTAGCATGCTAAGCATGCTTATTCACCCTTTTAGCTATCTCTGTGGCCCCATGTTTCAGAACACTTGCATTCTTTACTTCCACTGTGACTAATGAGCATGACATACAAAGTAAGAAGTCAAATTTTCTCATCTTGAATAAGGCATTGGGTACTAACATTTTAGACATGGAAATAATACAGATACCTTTTCTCTGAGTTGCTGGATGCCGAAGGTTCTGATGCTGTTGCTCTTACTGAGGTCTGTGTGGGAGGAGGATTACTAAACAGGAAGTTGCTAATCAATCTCCAAATGGCAAGGAATGGGTAAAGTACCGTTCCCAACAATGTCCAAATATCTCCACTGGAAGAATGTACCATGGATGTAGTCGGTCTTCCTGCCTAAAAATTCAGAAATAAAACTAAAGATCACACAAACTCAACTGTACTACATTTAAGGGTTAAAATAAATCTTTTATCTAGAAAATAATGTGCCATAGATTTTAGTTTACTTCAAGAAGATAATTATGCCATCTTTTGCTATTTTTCAAACATATATACGTGGAAACTCCCAGGGCTGTTTTTAAGTAACTTACTTATTTTTGGTTTTTGAGCCACAGCAAGCCATGCTCAGGGGTTGTTATTCCTGGTGGTACTTAGGGGACCCAATAGGGTAACAGGGATCAAACTCAGATCAGCTGCATGTAACGTAAACGCTCTACCTGCGGTTCTATCATTCTGGCCCCTAGAGCTGTTTTTTAATAGAAGCAATCACAATACAAAAATTTTCATGTTTCTCCAGTTGAAACACATGCTGGGCATACATGCATGGGTCCTAGGTTTGATCCCTAGCACTGAAGAATTCCCAAAGGAATAGCTCTGGTGGTTCCCAACATCACTGGGGAAATTCCAATAAAACACACTCAAATATATCCCTGAAAAATTGGGGCCTGATATGTGGCACTGTGATAGAGAATCTTATATGAAGCTCTGGGTTCATTCAGGAGCATGGGGAGAGGGCATGGTGGAGGAAAAGAAACCCTAATAAGTAATCTCAATGATTTGAATCAATTATTTTTAAGAGAATTCAACTGTTGTAATAAAATCAACAATTCTGACAAGAAAAAGTCTTAAAATTTATGAAAAAGAACAGTTTCATACTTCAATGAACACAACTCAGTCTGGTGAAGATCTAATTCTTTCGGGTGTGGGGTCTAGATTATAGCCAAGCAAACTACTAAAATTTAGGAGACCCAGGCTTTCATCCAGCACTTGATGGTACTTTGGAAAGATATTTAAACTTACTCAGGTTTGTTTCTTCATGACAGATTAAAATACTTTATGAGGATCAAACGGCATTTAAAAATCAGTCTTCTTTTATGTCAAAATAAAATGTCAAACATTTGGTAAAGAGTAGAATCATAAAAAATAACAGCTCATGAATAAGACATACTCTAAATTTCTTCTGTCTCCTACTAGTCAGTTTTGCACATGAAATGGATGAAGAAAAGTAAAAAATTAACTATTCAGTGCCTAACAAGCAATATTAGCAATCCAAGTATATGAAACAGAATAAACAATAAATTGATTATCTTTGGATTTTTAATTATCCACAGTAAGCCTTTTATAAGGTGTGCTGGTCTAGTAATTATAACATAAACTACTGGATTGTAAGAAGAGAAAAAAACATTATGTATATACATACTGGCAACAGTACCACTGAAGCACTTGGAGCAAGTTCCAAATCCATTAATTTCTTTTTATAATCTTCTTTGGTAAATTCCCTCCTGGGAAACATAGTTGCTAATGAAAAATTTCCATAAGTGTTGCCAACAGTCTGTAACAGAAAAATAAGTTTTAAACTTTAGAACTATGCCTTTATATAGTAAGATTTTAACAACTCATAAGCATCCAAAACAACTGCTTTAGTTTCACATAGCCAAAATATAAAAGTTAACGGAAACTCAAAACACATTTCTGACACTTTTGTGCCAGGAGGTTTGCCTTGCACATTCCTCCATACCACATATGGTCTCCTACGTCTGCCCTGCCAGGAGTGATCAAAGTGTAAGCCTGAGCACAGCAAGGTGAGGCAAAACAAAACAAAACAAAAGTAACTGACAACTATCACACACACAGGTCAAAAAAGGATTTATAATTCAAAAACTGACAACAAAATAATGAGAATACAGTTACTGAAACAGGTAACTGAATTTTTAAGAAATTCAGTTGGGCCAAAGCAATAGTACAGCGGGTAGGGCACTTGCCTTGCACGCGGCTGACTCATTTTTGACCACCAGAGTCCCATAAGGTCCCTGGAGCCCACCAGGAGTGATCCCTGTGTAGAGTCAGGAGCAACCCATGAGCATCTCTGGGTGTGGCTCCACTCACAGGTACATCAATTTTGGGGCTATAAACTCTGGGGCCCCCTCGGGAAGTGGCTAGGCCAAGAATTATCCCAGTTCTACAAATCCTGGAACTCCTGCAGCATGTGGCCATATAGCAGTTGCACAACTCCTCCAAATCCCACAAGAGAAACATTTCAGGAGGAGTACGACAAATTAGATTGGAAAGTAACATAGAATCCCACTAAGCTCAATAAGCAAAAACAACACAAAAGCCTCAGCTAGCTACAAACAGCTCATTAAATCCTCAGACAATGACTTTCATAACAACATTGTGAGATGCAACAATTTTCACAAATTTTCCTTTACTGAACTATTTTTTGATAATTCCACTTACAAGCAATATAAAAGAAATTATTTTGTGCTTGCGAAGGAAGCAGTCTGAGAGAGTGAGCGGGAAACTGGGGGCAACGGTAGAGAGAAAATCACACTGGTGGTAGGCTTAGTGCTGGGGCATTGAATGCCTAGAACAACTGTATTATGAACAACTTTGTAAATGCTGGTGTTTAAAATTAAAAAAAAGTTAAAATAATAATTAAAAAATCAATAAAGTAAAAATTTTAAAATTATGTCTTTAAAGTACAGCTACTTATCATTAGGGTTTTCACTATCCTTTTAAGAAATTATATATTGCCTAAAAAAATAAACATTTGGAGGTAAGTCTTCCCTATTAAAAAACTACATAGTTAGGGATCAGAGCTAGTGGCTCAGTTTTTCCCTGAATTTAAATTCATCACTTGAGGGAGCCCCCTGGCCTCAAGTGGGCCCAGCCAGAGGTCCCCTCCACACGCAGCCCGGCCGCACCTGGTGGGCTGAGACGTGGGGACGCTGCCAGGGCCTCACCTCCAGTCTCAGGATGTGCGGCCGCCCCCTCACTGCTCAGGGGCTGGGGGACAGGAGACCCTGCCCTCTGGCCTGTGGACAGTGGGTGAAGGTACGGCCCATGCAGGTGGGGGCAAGAGGGGCCCCTGGCTCTGCACCCCCTCCTCACTCTTCCCGCAGTCATTGGGGATCACAGCAGAGCATGGGGTGATGCTGGGGAGGAGAGTCACTGTCGGTCCATCCCACCCGAGCTCAGCTTGTGCTTACACCAGCTCCTTGGTAGCTCCTGAGCTGGGTAGGAGATGCTTGGGGGGGGGGGGGGGGGGCCGCAGGTCTGCTCCTTGGATGGACTGGCTCAGGGCTGGCTCTGCCCCCATCTGGGGGCATGCACCCTTGGGTGGTGCAGGCAGGGGGAAGGGTGGGAAAATGGAGCTTAGGGATGGAGCTATAGCACAGCGGGTAGGGCATTTGCCTTGCACGCGACCAACTCGGGTTCGATTCTTCCATCCCTCTCGGAAAGCCCGGCAATCTACTGAGAGTGTCCTGCCCACACGGCATAGCCTGGCAAGCTCCCTGTGGTGTATTCAATATGCTAAAAACAGTAACAAGTCTCACAATGAAGATGTTACTGGTGATTGCTCGAGCAAATGGATGAACAATGGGAGGACAGTGCTACCGTGCTACGCTTGATCACTTGGCATTCCGTTACTCATCGATTTGCTCAAGCGGGCACCAGTAACTATCCATTTGTCCTTGTCGCGTACTAGTGTAGCCCAATGGCGTCTGCTCACTCCAGGAATACGAAGAGTCTCAAACCATTCATTCAGGATCTTGATGAAGAAGTCTGATTATCTTGTAGGTGGGCGGCCACACGATCTTTTGACATCCCGTGGAATCCAGTCAATAATGGCTCTAGTCCAGCAGTCATCTCCAAATTGCATTACGCGTGTCCAGCCCATCTGATTTTCGACACCTTGGCAAAAGAGACAGCATCCGTGATTCTTGGATCGACGGAGGCCAGAATTCCGGATTCCTTCTCTCACCTGAGTGAAGCATGATACCCCAAGCATAGCTCTTTTGATTTCTCTTAGGGAGACCCGAAGAGCGATCTCGTCCTGTTTTCATAGGGCCCAGGTCTCTGAGGCGTATGTTAACACAGGAAGAACAGTGGAATTGAAGAGGTATGCCCAGAGCCAGAAGTTCTTCGTCCTCTTAGCTATTTCTTTGACGCTCTTGAAGGCGTTCCATGCCGCTCTCTTCCTCCTGTGCCACTCAGGTGCCAGGTCGTTCGTCATGTTGAGTTCTTGATCTAGGTACACATAACTGTTGCATTAGGAGATGTTCGTTCTATTGAGATCGAATTGAACATCAGGAACGAGTTTGTTTCTCATAAACACTGTCTTCATGAGATTCAAATGCAGTCCAACCTTTCCACACTCACGGTCAAAGTCAACCATGTCATCAGCTAAATGGAGGTGGTATAGTTGCCGACCCTCTATCTTCATTCCCATTTCTTCCCATTCCAGTCGTCACATGACTTTGAGGGTGGCACTGAAGAGTTTCTGTGAAATGGTATCACCCTGCCAAACCCTCTCTTGATGCCAATGATCACTTCCTTGTAGAATTGGTGAGATCCTGGCAGTGAATCCGTTAATACAGCTCATGGAGGATCCTGATGTATTGAGTTTGAATGTCCGGTTTGGCTAGGGTTTCAGTCTCAACAGAATCAAAAGCCTTCTTTAAATCAATGAACGTTAGACAGAGCGGCATCTGGAACTCCCGAAAAAACTCAATAAGCTTGGTTACCGCGTGGATATGGCCAATCATGCTGAATCCTTTTCGGAACCCAGCTTGCTCGCATGGTTGTCCTTCATCTAGTGTTCTGCCAATCTTATTCAGGATGACTCGGGTGAACAGCTTGTAGACAACAGATAACAGGCAGATCGGGCGATAGCTGCCAATGTAATGGATGTCTCTCTTTTGTACAGTAGTAGAGTCCTGCTGGTTTTCCATTAGAACAGAATCTTGCATTCAGACAGGCAGCATGTGAAGAGCCAAGCCAGTGTACTGATGAGTACTGATGGCAGGTTCTTCAGGTGTTCTGGTCTGACCTTGTCTCGGCTGGGTGCTGTTTGCTTCTTTACCGAAGAAATGGCATGTCAGATTTCGGAAGGGAGAACATTAGAAACGACATATCCATCCTGCGGAATTTGGTATGTGGGCAGGTGGCATGGCAATCAAAGAGATCTGAGTAGAAGTCATGGATAATCTTCTCCACTGCCCTTTTGGAAGATGTGATATATCCATCAGGATGTCGGAGGGCAGTCGTCTTGGTCTTGTAGTTGGCGAAGGACAGGCGGGCATTGCAAATGCTTTTGCTGGCTTCTGCACATTGGCCAGCACTGCTGGTCTTCTCTCTTTATCGCTTCTCTGCACTGCTTTGCGAGCTCGGAAGTCAGCTTGTGGTTGCATGAGGTTCTCGCCCAGCCACGTTGGCAAATGAGCTTGAGAAGACAGGCATCTTTTTGTGGCTTTCTCTCTCTCAGCGTCCTTACACAAACATGGAGGTTCTGAACCAGTCGATCATATTCTTCATCAATATTGTCAACGACAGCATCTTCCCATGTTGCCGCCATAGTGCCAAGGAGCTCCCAGTCGGTGGTCATTCTGGGAGTGCTCTTCTTAAATTTTGCAGTCCTTTCTCCCCGCTCCATGAAGTAGAATTTTGCACAAAGGAGATGGTGGTACGAACTCGTTTCAAATTTTGGGACAACAGCGACATGGGTCAGGCAAAATCATCAATTGAATATGATGCGGTCAATTTTGTTGTAGAACTTTCTACCAGGAGACTACCACGTCCAACATTTAGATTCAGCCTTCTGGAACTGCAAGTTAGCATGGATGGTCTTGGTCGACATGATGAACTCAGAGAGTCTCTCACCCTGTTCATTCCATTCTAGGCAATGGGTACCGATGTGGAGCTCTTCGGCCAATATTCTCGGTCCTATCTTGGCATTAAAATCACTGACAATGATCCTTCGAAGGTATAGTCTCCTTTATAGAACTTCTCCAACTCCATGTAGAAGTTCTCAATTTCTCTTTCCTCATATTTGGATGTTGGTGCACAGACAATGAAGGTAGATAATGCCGGCAGATAGCCACATCTATTCAAGTGTGAATAGTCTGATTTGTGTTGTTATGCATCAAATGAATCAATGCTCATGGCCAAGTTCGTCCTTGGTGACAAGGACATCGATCGACACCACTGACAGCTCTTTTGTCACATGTTCTGAGGAACAGTCCTTCTCCAGTGTCAAAAATGGCATGATGTGATACATCACATGATACCCAGCTGCCACTACGCTCCAGGCAACTTTCTGGACCACTCAGGCCAAGACTCACACGAGTGAAGTCCCACAGATCCAGGTAAAGTGGAAGTTTGTGACTTTGGAATCCAGAGACTCCCCGGGACCAGGAAACAAAAGATCCTCTGCCTGCTTCCACCAATCTCCAGCGACCCAGGGATCACACTCATATTTTATTAATTCCTTATTGTTTTAAAAGCCAGACCCAGCAATTCTTAGGTGGAGGCCAGAGTTACGGCTACACATAATGCTACAGCCCAAACCCAGGACCTCACTTGAGCTACACCTCTAATCTTGCCCAATCAAATTTTGAATAAAGGGATGTTCTTGAAAATATACTTGTTGCCAAATATTTTTAGGTTTGGCCAACTGGCTGACAAGGAGAAAATGACTTGCCCCAAAGCACTCTAAGGAGTCCACCAAAAATATAGTGAGACAGATGAAAGAAACAAAAAACAAAAAATAATTTCATCTTTTCACAGACACAATTCTTTTTTTTTTTTTAATCTTTTTGGGTCACACTTGGCAATGCACAGGAGTTACTCCTGGCTCTGCACTCAGGAATTATTCCTGGTGGTGCTCGGGGGACCATATGGGATGCTGGGAAATGAACCCGGGTCAGCCACATGCAAGGCAAATGCCCTACCCACTGTGCTATCGCTCCAGCCCCCAGGCACAATCCTTTAGATTAAAGCTTTAAAAAAATTGTAAACAAATGTGGACTGGGTAGCTTAGCAATACAGCACTTGTGTTGCCTGTCTAGGGCTCTGAGTTTAGTGACTGGCACTGCAAACAAAATAAATAAAAAAATAAAAAATAAGTAAACAGATCTTTGGAAATTAGCTGCATTATATTCCTCCAGTTGAATATACCAAGAAAGGAGAAAAGTTCCAGAATCTAATGTACACTATAAGCAAATTCCCATTTTTACACAAAATGTAGACAGACAGTATCTGTCTGGCACTATCACATGATGAATATACAATACTCCACCAGTGTATTGCGACCCCTTCTGGCTGGAGATCATGACTCATGAAAAAAAAATCACATTTCCAATTCTACTTAATTATTTTCTTCTCCTATACTGTAATAATATTTTTTTACTACAACTCAAGACATAAACTTACCTGTGCTGCAAACTGTCTTGCTTCTTCTAGAGGGGCATCAGAAGGGAACTGATTTGTAAAGGAAGAACCATCAGGAAGACGAAACTGAATTCGTGCCACAGTGCTAGGTAAAAAGAAAGAGCCAGCATCTTTTACTTCTATTATATTCTCAAACAGTATCACTAAAAGTTAGAGAAAATAAGGCCAGAGAGTTCAGTGAGCAGGCGTGCATGCAGTGCATATGGGACACCTGGGTTCTATCCTGGGCTCTATTCCTTGCATGGTCCCCTGGGAACTGCCAGAGTGACCCCTGCACCAAGCCTCTGAGCACTGCTCAAATACGAAAACAAATCAAAGATGTTAATGAAATTGCAAAAGGAGACCAAGGATGCAGCTGAAAGGTAAACTGCATTCATGTGTGAAGCTGTGAGTTTGATTCCTGGCACAAAAAAAAAAAAAAAAGGAAAAAAAGAAAAGAAAGAAAAGGAGAAAACAAAACTAAGAAAATGTTCATCGCAAGTTTTCTGGCCAGGGAGATAGCACCAAAGTGCCTGGGTTCAACCCCCGGCACTGCATGGTCTCCTGAACACTGTCAGAAACTGTCAGGTACAGGTCTTGATGCCCACCAGCACTACTAGGAAGAGTCCCCTAAAAAACAAACGAAAAAGAGATTTCCCCCTCACAAATATCAGGTAACTTATTTTAAATAAAGGTCTACTGATATATAACGTATCTAACCAAATTTTCGGGAACATTTATCCTTAACCCCAGGAAAAGTCACCTTGAAGCACAAAGTAGCTTTAAATAGTCAAGAGTTGTGCAACTGTCACCATTAATTTCAAAACAGTTTCATCACTGCCAAAATAAACCCTATGCTCATCACCAGTTTCTCCCCATTCCCTCTTTTAGCAAGTACTTGGCAATTAATTATTGTTGGGCTTTTTTTTTTGGTTTTGGGGCCATGCCCAGTCATGCTCAGGGGCTACTCCCAGATTGGTAAAGAGGTCACTCCAGTGGTGTTCAGACGATGTGGTGCTGGGAATCAAAAGTGATATCTGGCTTTATACAAAAAGTAAAAGGAATGGGGAGAGGTATTTCCATGACCTCTGGCTGCTACTAACCATATATATAGCCTTAGATTTACCTATTTCAGGCATTTCATTTAAAGACTTTAGACAATGTCTAATTTCAGGGTAAATGACTTCTTAAGTGGGATTATGTTTTCAAAGTTCATTCATGTTGTAATGTATGTCAGTACTTGATTCTTTTTTAATGCTGAGTAATATTCCATTGCAAAGGATTACTATACTATGCTTATCCATTGTTCATCTGATGGTAGAGTTATTACCACATTGGCTAATGATGCTCATAATACTCTTCTACAGGTTTTTGTGAACGTTTTTTTCCCCCCTTGAATATACACTTGGTGCTTTTTTTTTTTATAAGAATGAAATGCGTTTATTGTGAAAGAACATTAAGGAATAACAAATCATAGAATTTCACTTCTTTCCTATAATTCTGAAACCTATAATCCTGTAACCCCAGTGAACTTTATTCCCTATAATATCTACAAAGGAATTAAAAGGTGTTAACTATTTACTTGAACCAAAAGTTTTAATGAAAGTTTTCCAGGAGAAATTTTATAGAACGCATTTGAAATTCTAAATATAAGCACATGTAAATATACGACCACGTAGTAAGAGAATAATTTCAACATAAATTCATCAAAAAAGTGGCCACACCAGCAGTGTTGGGAGCTGACATGGTGCTGGGGAATAAACTAGGGCCTTGTATGTGCTAGGCATGCTTCTATCAGACCAGCTCCTAGGAGTATATACTTCTGTGTAAGACTGCTAAGGTTATAGTAATCATTAATATCTTGATGTTATGTTATAGTAATTATAACATCTTGAGAAACCCATTTATTTCCCCAAGGTGACTGCACCATTTTATAACTTCATAGCAATGTAGGAAGGTTCAAAAGTCTTCAAAATTCATCAGAACTTGCTATATCACCTTAAATTTAGGCATAAAATTTAATCTTAAGAGTACAAAATACTATCTCATTGTGATTTGATTCCCTAATTACTAATGAGTATTTTTCCAAAAAGCAAAAGAAGAAAAGCAAAAACATTTTTTGATCTACTATAAAAGTAATGTCTAATTAATTTTCCAGTACAAAAAATACAGCTGTACAAAGAAAATAAACTTTAACAATAATCTAATTACCAGAATATGATAGAAACAAAATGCTTAGCATTTTTTTTTGCAACATATATTCAGTTTTAAGAACTACCTTACCCCTGTTACACTGGCATCTATCATAATATCATCAGTAATATTTTATCCACCCCATCACTACAGGGGTAGGCATAGCAACTGCTCCAACTACGTAGCCCACACATGCATACACAGTGAAATAGACACCACAATTGATTTGGAGGTGGAACATGATCTTTAGGGCTGGTACAGCAATAATACAAGGCAAGACAATAGTACAGTGGCATCCCAGTTTGTCCCCTAAACCCACAAGTGATCCCTGAGTTGGAGTCAGGAGGAAGCCAGGTGTAGCCCAAACAAACAGAAAACAAAACAAACAAAAACCCTCTTCAATTATTAATAAAACCTTTGAAAGGGTTAAGTTTTTCCTGCTCGTTTTCTATCAAGATCCTGATGGTAAGGGGAAGTCCTAGGCTCCCCTAATACAACCTTAAGAGTTATTCTCAGACAATAAAGCTAAATTAGAGGGGGAAAAGGAGTGGGAAAAAGGATATGACTCAAGGAACAGATGACAGGCGAACATCCCTCCTCCCAGCACTGTAGGGTGTGGCCGGCAAAATAATTTTTAAAAATAAAACATTCGAGAGCCACGAAGATAGCTCAAACAGCTGAGGTGCATTTTTGTAACAAGTCCGCTGAGGCCACAGAACACTTCCGTGTAAAAAAGCGGGGTCCAGAGAGATAGTATAGGTGTTAAGGTGCTGATCCTGTATGCAGCCAACCTCAGTTTGACCCTCATCACTGATATGGTCCCAGAGTATTGCTTTATCCCTGGCTCTGCATGGATTCCCAAGCACAGTGCTGAGAGTAAGCCTGAGCAACATCAGATGTGGCCAAAAAAAATTTTTTTTAAATAAGTAATAAGTGAAAGTGTATCACAACCAATATTCTCCTGATTCAACTAGCACACATAAATATTCTAGCATGAAGTAAAATACCTTCTTTCTCTTGCAGCAGCATCTCTCTTGACCTCCATTTCTGTCTGTTTGGCTAGCAAGGCAGCAGCTTTGGCAGCTTCTACTTCTTCCTTTGTCTTTGCAAAGCGAGCAGCCCTCTCAGCACGGTCCTTTAAAACAGCCATTAGACAGTAATCATATCCACGGCCACAATGATCTACTCACATTACTCCCAAACACAACAAAAAATATGGATTTCCCTGAAGTCATGTGTGCACTTTATCATTCAGGATCTGTTTGTTTGTTTGGTGAAGGGGGGGGGGGGGGTGTGCTCCCAAGCAATGCTTGGAGGCCAGGACACACTCTCAGTGATACTCAGCCACCTGGCCATGACTATTTAATACTCGGGGCCCAGTAATGCAGTACTGGAGGCCACCACCATCACCCTAGTGGTCAAGTCCCCCACCCAGAGGTGCTCAGAGGCCATGAGATGCTGTGGACTGAATTCAGGTTCTAGCACATGGAAGGCATACATCCCAGACCCTTGAGTTATTTATGAGGCCCAGTTGATATATTTTAGTTTTATATCAACTATCAAAGTAGGGATCAAGGTTTCCATTAAATAAACAAGAGATATGGGCCGGGTAAGAACTATGCTGTGCGCATGTTTTTCATGTGTAAATTCCATCCAAGCACTTGTTGGGAGTAACCCCCAAGTATCACCATTATGACCAAAACAAGCTCTTCCTGACCAAAAAAAAAAAAAAAAAAAGCCCCAAGAGATTTGATTTGGCTCACTCCATGTTCTCCAGAGCATAAGGTCAAGAATACAGTGTGCACAAAATAAATTTTGCTGAACGAACAATCAATATTAGAGGTGGATTTTTTGGGTGTTTTTGATTTTGGACTTTTGGGGTTTTTTGGGTCACACCCAGTGTTGCTTAGGGCTTATACTGGCTCTGTGCTCAGGGACTACTCCTTGTGGTGCTGAGGGAACCACATCGTGTGCTAGGGATTGCATCTGAGTTGGTAGAGATTTTTTTATATGTATTATAACCACTTAATTCTAAATGTATTTGGTGCTAAACCATCAAAAGTTCTACTTGATGCATCTAAATCCTTTGAATGGCTTCCAAAATGAATAGCTACAACTGGAAGAGACTGTATCCTTTCGGGGAGATATCCAAATGATTTATTATTTTATTATGAATTTTTAGCTTCTTTCCAAAGACATCTTGAGAACTACCTTATAATTCTTGCAGTGCCAAGAATCAAACGCAGGCCTCAGATATACATGAAACCTACCTTTTGATTATAGGCATATCTTGAAAATATGCCTCTATGTTCCATTCCAAACCATTATATTGAAATTTTGTGGGAAATACTTTTGGTTTCCAAGTGCATACAGAATTTATACATATACAACATATACAGAATGTTCAGAAAGATTGTGTTTAAATAACACTTCACATACTATATTTTAAAAATGACTTTATTGGGGCTATAGAGATCCAACAACAGACCAAGTGCATACTTCGCATGTAAGAGGCCAAAGTTTGATTCCTGGAACTATACGATCCCCAGAGCACAGAGACAAGAGTAGTGCCCACCCTCCACAGTTCTCTCTCTAGCACCACCTGGGTGCAACATAAAAATAAACAAAAGTTTGCATCACTAAGAAATGCCACATGGTCCTCTGAGCACAGTGAGAAAACCAGAGCAGAGCTGAAAGTATTAGCTGAACACAGGGTATTTGCCCCCACCCTCAACTGGCAAGAAATTGAATGACACAAAATGCTATTTTTTTTTAAATGTTCATCATCTTTTCAGCCTTCAGCAACTCAAACTTTTTGTGACAAACTTCTTTCAATCTGTTAAAAAACACAGTATTGGGGCTGGAGCGACAGCACAGCAGGTAGGGCGTTTGCCTTGCACGTGGCCAACCCGGATTCAATTCCCAGCATCCTAAATGGTCCCCTGAGTACCACCAGCAGTAATTCCTGAGTGCAGAGCCAGGAGTAACCCCTGTGCATTGCCAGGTGTGACCCAAAAAGCAAAACAAAATAAAACAAAACAAAACCAAAAAACACAGTATTCGCAAAACCCAAAAAAGAAGTGCAATTAATGAAATACGCTACACTGATAAAAGTTCTGAACAGACAAAAAGTGTCTGAAAAAAGTTTATTCAATTTTAACCTCAAAATGTATTTTCATTTAATAAATAATCGCTAATAAAAGAAACTATATTTTTTTGAGTCTCTAAAATCTACACTTGCGGCATTACCTGGTAGAAAAACAAAACCAATGTGTGTATAAAAACAATATTGCAAATGTTCACAAATCAAGCACTAAAAATAAACTTAGAGCTAAGGATGTGGCTCAAGTAGTATTATATATGCCTTGCATAAGTACAGCCCCGAGTCTGATTCCTAGTACTACATGGACCCCACATACTGTCAAATGTGGCCCCTATAAAATAAAATGAATTCTAAAAGTCAAGAACAATATTAAAGGGGGCTGGATCAATAGCACAGCGGGTAGGGCATTTGCGCTGCATGCGGCTGACCCGGGTTCGATTTCCAGCATCCCACATGGTCCCCCGAGCACTGCCAAGAGTAATTTCTGAGTGCATGAACCAGGAGTAACCCCTGTGCATCACCGGGTGTGACCCAAAAAGAAATAAAAAATTAAAGGAAGGCCAGAGAGTGAGTACTGGAGATAAGTGCTTGCCTTAGAGGCAGCTGAATTTGGCTACAACACTGGTACAATTCCCCAGCACAACAAACCCCTTGGGCCTGCAGAAGCCCAGTTTTGATTCAACACCAAATGATCCCTCAGAGCACTTCCAAGAATGGCCTCTAAACATTGCCAGGTAGCAGCCCTAAAAATAATAAGCATAAAAACACTTTATTTTGGTAGTGGTATAGTAACTTTGTATGCCAAAATACACAAAGTCTGGGGCTTGGACATGATTCAGTAGTGTCTCAGTAGTGTAGAACTTGTTCTGCATGCATAAGACCCTAAAGTTTGGTTTCTAGCACCAAAAAAAAAAAAAAAGAAGAAGCACAAACACTAAGACTGTTGAAAATACATACATAAAATTAAGAGACCAGGAATATGATGCAAGTGATAGAACACATGTCTTGCACATATGTGCGGCCCTGAGTTTGATGCCTGACAACACATGGCACCCCAAGCACCACTAAGTGTCCTTATAACAAGAACAAAACACTTAGTACTCACCAATGTAATGGAAGAGAAGACAAACTGAAGAGTTATGAGGTGTGCTTATTTACGCCTATTACTTTAGTCTTGGGTTCACTGGCTCATTTCTTTTCTTTTTGCAGGGAGGGATCACACCTGGTGGTACTCAGGGATTATTCGTGGTTCCATTCTCAAGGAACATTCCTGGCAGTGACGAAGCACCTGTACTATTTCTCTGGCCCCTCACATCTCATACTTGAACGATTTTTAAATCCTTAGCCTTAATACTGACAGCCTAGTAGAAGTACACCAAATTGGATGGGAAAGTAGTGTAGAAGCCAATTAAGCTCAATAAACAAAAACAGTAACACAGAAAGCTCACCTAGTAATAAACAGCTCAGTAAACTCTCATATTAGGACTTAATAACCCCATAATGAGACAACAATTTTCACAAATTTACTTTAACTGAAGTATCTCTCAGTAATTCCATTAAACCATGGAACTGTTTTGCTCTAATAAGCAATATGTAGTAGTTTTGCTTGCCGGGAAAAAGGCACAGGGGGTGGGTGGGAGGCTGAGAACATGGTATTGGCAAGGTCACACTGGTGGTAGGATTGGTGTTTGAATATTGAATGCCCGAAAACACCTCTATTATGAATAACTCTGTAAACCATAGTGTTTAAATAAAGTTAAATAAATTTTTTAAAAATCTTATACCTAAAAAGTTTATTTTGCTAATTATATGAACGTGCATATTTACATTCATGTAAAACATTTGCTGTGTGAAGTTCTTATTTTCTAAAAGAACACTATGTTTAAGTTAAAAAAAAAATGAAGGCAAGAAAAAAAAATTACTCACCAATGCAATCTGCTGTTTAATACGCTCTCGGGCTGCCCTATCTTCTGCCTTTTCTCTGTTCCTTTCCTCTAACATTCTTTTTGTTAATTCTTCTTCTTGCTTTCTTTTATAATCCAACATCTCCTTTCCGGTTTTCCTCCTTTCAATTTCCTTCTTAATCTCCCTCTGAATTAAAAAGAAAATGAAGTTTTATGAGCCCCAAACCAAAGTATTGATTTTTCCTATTATTTTATATGTAAGCAAAAGCTGGTTATAGGGTGTAACTAATAAAATAATAAACTTCAGAAAATGTAAGGACCTAGGTGAATTTAATACAAAGAATTCATGGTCAACTGTCAACTATAAATCTTTGTCAATGGCTTAAGTTATGATACGGTCAATGTATTTTGAAAGCCAGCTGAATGACAGGCCTTTGGTCTCCAAGGTCAATAAGGTAATCATTTATTTGGCATGAGAAAAAAATACCTAAGACAAGGTATCATTTAGGTGCACTGAAATGCAACAACATGAGAAGAAAAAAAATAAGCAAAAACTCTAGTTTTGATTAAAAGAAAAAAAAAGATTGAGTTTGATTTGATTCACAACCAAACATTTAGATTCAAGTTCCTTTATTCTTAGTGAAAAGACTCATGGGGAGAAATAAATGACCCAATTTATTCAAGCAATTTATAGTAAAGTAAAGTAAAGGCCCTCCCGTTGATCGTCAATTTGCTCGTGCGGGCCCAGTAACGTCTCCACTGGAGACTTTGTTGTTACTATGTTTGGCATATCGAATACGTCACAGGGGTATACAAGTCTACAATAAAGGGAAGAATTTCATTCCCTTTACTATACAACAGTGAACCATACTAAGTCATCATAAGTCTACCACCAAATTGATTAAGAAATCAAGTTCTCTCATTTGGGTCTGGAGAGATAGTTCAGTGGGTTAGGTGCTTGTGTGGTATGCAGCTAATCCAGGTTCTATCCCTGGTATCCTATCTGGTCCCCCAAGCCCCACGAGAAGTAATTTCTGAGTGCAAAATCTGGAATAAGCCCTCAACATCACCTGGGTGTGGCCCAAACAAACACACACGCATAATTCTCTCACTTAAGAGAAGAGTATTAGTACAGTAAATGGACTTTACCTGTTCTTCCTCTTTCCTTTTCTCTTCTCTCCTTTCTTCAAGTTTTTTGGTTAGTCTGTATTTTAAAAGGATATTTATTAGTTAAAAAATATAGTGGATATACAAACAAAAAAAACAAAAAAGAAAATCTCCTAATGGCAAAACAACAACTTACCTTCCTGGCCCCAATTCCATTGGAGAAATTCATGAATCAATGAAAGACCATCAGAAGCCTATCTACAGGCTCAAACTCTAGTGAGCTTGCTATTAGCTCCCTCTTTCCCACTGATCTACATCTTTTAAAACAGATACATTTTCATATACAAATGTTTTATCCCTTATATAAAAGCATTAATATAGCTTAAAACGTTTTAAAACCAAAGCATGTACATAAAATACTAATACTGATTCATCAATTAAAAATCAATAACTGAGGTAGAGGAAAGAGCTCACAAGGGTGAAGAGTAAGCGCTGCATGTGTGAGGTTCTGCTGGCCCAAACAGTGTGGCAATACACTGCTGGACCCGAGCAGTGTAGCTCTCAGGCCTGTGTCATCTTACTGAGTATCACTGGGAGTGGCCCACAGGCACAGCTGGGCACTGCTGACATGGTATTTAAAATGCCTCCTTTGCAGGCTCAGGAGTTCAAATTCCTAGTACTGTCACATGTGCTAAGTACAGTCGGAGCAGCTGTGCTGTATGAGCCTGGCATCTCTACAGTCTGTGATCCTTGGTACCACAAATAATTTCCAGCCACATACTAGCCAGGTGTGTTTAAGCAGCTCCGAAGAACCCCTGGGCAAGCACCAAAGCTAAAAGGATGTGCAAGCACAAAAGCTAGGACTGGCAACAACATACAGTCATATGTGAGGATTGCAGTGTCGTAAGCGGGTGTGAGGTCACAGTCATCCCCAGTGAGTGCTACAACTGTAATTCGTGTAATAAAACTGAAGAATATGAACCCCCGGTAGTAAGCATATGTGCAAATACCACGACTGAAGGAAAACTACCTATATGAGCAGTGTGGCCAAGTGTGTGTAAACACTCTAATCCTATGTGTCAACTTGCATAGCATCATAACTAAAAATGCATGAGCACCATAGCCAGGGATGTGGGCAACTCCCAATTATGCAACAGTGATGAAGATGACAATGAGGCAGGTGTGCAGGTTGACGGAGCTGAAAGACCATAAAAAAGTTATAGAGTAATAAAATTCAAACACAAATGGAGCTGGAGAGATATCTCAAAAGACTGAAGCACATGCCTTCATGCCGGAGGCCAGGGTTTGATCCCCTGTATATTGCATGGTAGCCTCAACACTGCCATGAGCAACGCTCAAGAATGGAGCCTGAAACAGACCTGAGCATCACTAGGTGAGGTCCAAAATACAAAGAAAAACATAATAATTCCTGTGGCAGGATAGAGGGCGGTAGAGTGCCTGTCCCACAAATGTGAGTATGGCGAGGCCTGACTTCAATCCCTGGTACTGCCTTGCATGCCTGAGTGTGAATCTAGCAGCTCTGCTACTGTGGATCCCTGGTGCCACACAAAGCATGTGATCTCTGGGGCATCACAATAAACTGTGCTCCGAACAGAAACAACAACAAAGGGAATGGAAGGGAAAACATGAAACAAAAGCAACACAATGGTTCTGGGAGAGGGATATAACTCAATGTCTTGCATGCATTAAACCCCGGGTTCAATCTCCACAACCATCTAGTCCAGTAGTAATTCCTGAGTGCAGAACCAGGAGTAACCCCTGAGCATCACTAGGTGTAGCACCAAAACAAAACAAAACAAAACAAAAATAACAACTATGAGAGGAACAGAGAAAGGCTCAACAGGCTGGAACACATGCTTTGCATGCAGAAGGCTCAGGTTCCATCCCCAGCACTGCATGCTTCCCCAGTAATGAGCTGGGCGGGGAGGGGTAGTAAACCCCTAAATACTGTTGGGTATGGCCCCATACCAAAACCCGCCAAAAAAAAAAAACTAACAAAAAAAAAAACTTAAAACAAAGATTCATAGAAAAATTAAAAGTATGTATTAGAGAAATAAAGGGGATTTGTGTAATATCTCACTGTTGAGAATTATAAATTAGTATAGTCAACCCTAAAACACGAGCCAAAACCTAAAACACCAAAACTCCCACTCAGATAAATACAGCCAAAAGATGTATTTACCGTGTAACCTGGATAATGGATCAATGGCTAATGTGCCTACGCACTGCAAGCTAGACTCCACTAAAAACCGTTCTCAAACCTACACAATCTACACGCATAAAGACCTCAAAATTAGACCAGAATCCATAAAGTATACTGAGGAATAACTCCAGAGGTGTGCTGGATGGAACTGGAGAACATAATAAAAAAGTCAGAAGGAAAAGGACAAATGTCAGATGATCTCATCTGTGATATGTAGAGAAACAAAATATGAGAACAGACAGTGACTATGATACTTGGTCTTATATTACAAAACTTAAATTATCAAGCAGTAGGGGGAAGGCATGAGGGAGAAGAAAAAGAAAAGTAACAAAGTAACAAAAAGAATGGAGGATGAGTTTTGTGCACTTTGATGATGGTAAAGGTCCAGTAATTTTGACATCAAAACCATACACATGAAAACTATTATAACCGTGTTATCTAAATTACAATAAAACTTTAAAAAGTTATTTCTTAATTAAAAATAAATCTCTAACAGTCTGGAACACAGCACAGAGCTTTTTGTGTGATGCACTGAGTCAATCTCCGGTAGCATACATGTACACACATACACAAGCACCCTTACGTCTGTGGTTCCTCCTTCTCCTGAATTAAGTGTTTAATGCTCAGTGACCAGCATTTGCTACTTCGGAATAAAGAGAGGGAAAGATGCTAATTCCTGGGGCTGGAGAGGTGGCACATAAGGTAAGGTATTTGCCTTGCATTTGGCTATGATCATGTTTCAAATCTCCAGCACCACATATGGGGTTACGATGGACGTAACCCTGAATCAAATCCCCAGCATACATATGTCCCTTGAGCACTGTCAGGGTTACTCCTGAGCACAGAGCCAGGTGTGGTCCAAACCTTCCCACCATCTTGGATTCCACCAAAAGGCTAATCCCTATATTAGATAAAAAAAAAAAAGACTGGACGCTACTAAGAAACAACAGAAAATAAAATGAAACAACAGAAATTCCCTTTCTGAGAATATCTGACCACAACCCCAAACCTGTTTTTTTTCTATATCACCTCAAGTCTCAAAATCATTTTCTGATATTACAGTCACTTCACCCCCCATCTCCCACATAACCCCCACAGAGTAGAGCAAAGAAGAATGTATAGTTGCAAACTTGGTGTGAACAACACAGAAGGAAAGAAAGGAATAGTTACTGAGAACTCTGGTTACCCGATGCTATTCTTCCAACCTTCTGACATTTCCTCATCACTGGGAAAGGATCCAGCCTGCTTTTCTCATCTTTTGGCACTACCCCAACTCCAATTAAGAACAATCAGAATTCTAGGTTTTGCAAAAATGAGGCTGATTTTTTACTGAGTCATGAGTGAACCCAAGTATATAATGTCAGTGATTATTGGGGGAGGTGTTGTTTGGGGCCACATCCAGTAGTGCTCAGGGACTATTTTTGGATCAGTACTCAGGAGTGACCCATGCAGTGCTCAGGGGATCATATGGATCATATGTTCAGGGATCAAACCGGGTTGGTCAAAGTGTCTGCATGCAAGACAAGGGCCTTACCTCCTGTACTATCTTTCCGACCCTGTCAGCGATTATTTTGAACCTTTCTTTATTCCCTTCACAGCATCTACGTGAATAAAAAAAGTTATCTCGGACCAGGGAGATAGTTCAAAGGGCTAGTATATAATGCTTTGCATGCAGTAGGACTGGTCCGGTTGCCGGCATCCAATGTATGGCCCCTAAAACACCAAGAGGAGCAATCCCTGAGCATACTTCACTAAGGATCATATTTTAGTTTTGGGGGCCTAGTGAAGCTCAGAGCTTACTCCTAGCTCTGTGTTCAGGGATCACTCCTGGCAAGGTTTAGGGGACCATATGGGGTGCCAGGATTTGAACTGGGGTTGGTCACATGCAAAACAAGCACCTTACCCCTGGACTATCTCTCTGGCCCAGAATTTCTTTTAACTTCCACGTAACCCTAAATGGGGTTTTAAGTCAGGAAAAAGAGAAAATTCCTGCTATAGATTTATCATTATTTATAACTTTCATGAATCAGAATGTAAGACAATGATTTGATAATAATTATACTAAACTAGAAAATATAAATCAGAAATTTTATCTGATCATTAGAATGCATGACATTTAGTAGATAGCCCCTTATGCAAAACACAGACTTCAGTTCATTAAGAGTAAAATTAGCTAAAGTTTTTACTGATCTGTAATTTCCATAAAATTAAAATCACAAGTGGCAGATGAAAATACACACAGGCATATACACACACACGCATACACACAAACACACACACACACACATCAAAATATCACCAAAAATTATATGAATGGGTGCAGGGATATGTATCAGTTTCATGGATAAGGCCTTAAGTTCACTCTCTAATACCATCCAACACGCAAAGGTCAATTTTAGTAACACTGCATTTATGACCCTTGGTGCCTCAATAAGTGTGGAACCTCCAGTAAGAAGGATCAAACACTTGTGGCTTTCTCAACAACAGCACTGAGAAGGAACAGACTTACAACTAACTTGTGACTTCAGAAATACAGAAGATATTTACTTACAAAATACAATCTTTTTTTAAACTTTTTTTATTGACTCACTCTAAGATAGACCATTACAAAGCTTTTCATGATTGGATTTCAGTCGTACAGTCAGAATATAATCTTTATGATCCAAATAAGTTGGTTGGGTACTGAAAAACTCTACCCCCAAATTCTAAAACTTACGTGTATAATCTTAGCTTTAAGTCAAATAACAGAAATAACTAAAACCCACAGTCTTTTAAATAGTATTGGCAAAAATAAAATCAAACCTTTCTACTCTGATGGAGAGGTCCTCTGCAGGTCTTTGATTTGAGCATCCACTGGGTTCCTGAGATGACACAGCATGGTCTGAACTTTCTCCTCCTTAAATAAAGGGAAAAAATATAAGAATATTGTGGTTACTGCTACATTTTTACAAAGTACAAAGCATTCATCAATAATCTTGCATCTCAGAGGCTGGAGCAATAGCACAGCGGGGAAGGTGTTTGCCTTGAACGCAGCCGACCCGAGTTCGATTCCCAGCATCCCATATGGTCCCCTGAGCACCGCCAGGAGTAATTCCTGAGTGTAGAGCCAGGCGTAACCCCTGTGCATCGCCAGGTGTGACCCAAAAAGCAAAAAAAAAAAAAAAAAAAAAAAAAAAAAAAAAAAAAAAATTCTTGTATCTTAAACTTCAAATGGATTGGACAAAAAATGAGCTTTTTCTAATTTTGAAATCTGGATCTGAACATATTAGTAACTGAGGACCATTAAGGTAAAGGTAAAAGGAAAACATGAAGAAATAGGGGCTGGGAGCAAATATTACAGTGGGTAGGGTGGTTTGCCTTGTACACGGCCAACTTAGGTTTGATCCCTGGCATCCCAGCCGGGAGCAAGCACCACCAGGAGTGAATTCCTAAGTGCAGAGCCTAATGTTGTCCAACTTGGGCCTGGCAGTGCTGGGGCCACCAGGGCCATAGTTAGAGATGCTCAGGAGGACCACTCAGTGCCTCCACAAGCAAGGTAAGTGTGTCGTCCCAGCCCTAGAAAGATTTATTACTTAAACTAAATTTCAACTGAATGTCATGTCACTGGGAGTCAACTGCAGGCTTCCTAAGCCCTATGAACTAACAGCAAATTATGGATTTATTAACAGCAAATTTGGGACTATTAAGAAAGTTACTGAGGGACCAGAATGATAGTACAACTGGTAGGGAGTTTGCCTTGCATGTGGCTGACCCCTGTTCAATCCCCAGCATCCCATATGGCCCACTGAGCCCTGCCAGTATGAATTTCTGAGTGCACAGCCAACCATAACTCCTAAGTATTGTCAGATGTGGCCCAAAAACAACAACAGAAAGAAAGAAAGAAAGAAAGAGAGAGAGAGAGAGAGATAGATTACTGAGGGGCCAGAGAGAGTACAGGGGTTAAGGCACATGTCTTGGATGTGGAAGACCTAGCTGATTCCCAACATCATGTGTATCACTGAGTACACTCAGTACAGTTCTACTGGGTGTCGTCCTGGTGGACCCCAGGCCCCCTAAGACCACTGGGCCTGAACAATACTGGGAATTGCCACAGGATTTTTCATTGCTACCAAACATGTTACCACCTCCTCCCCCATTCAGAAAAAAAAAAAGGTGAAGAGTCATACAAAAAAGAAATGCTAAAGGAAATATGTCATGCTAAAAGGCAATAATAAGAGAAATACAGCTGAAAGGAATTCAGAATTTTGGAAATACGAGGCTGAAGCAGGAAAGGTGTTTGCTTTGCATGCAGCCAATCCGGGTTCAATCCCTCAGTTTTCTAAAATCCCATATGGTTCTCTGAGCCTGTTAGGAGTAGTTCTTGACTGAGGAGCCAGCAATAACCCCCGAGCATGACTGGGTCTTGCCCCAAAGTCTTCTCTGCCCCACCTCCCAAAAAATTCTGAAATAAAAGAATTTTGGAAATCATGTAAATATTTAGCTGCATATGAGCTACACTGATAAAGAGACTCCTAGGTCTATACACATTAAAAATCTGAGTGACCTTTGGAGATGAAACTTTTGCCTTGCACGCAGCCAACATGGCCGACCCGGGTTCGATTCCCAGCATCCCATATGGTCTCCCGAGCACTGCCAGGAGTAATTCCTGAGTGCATGAGCCAGGAGTAACCCCTGAGCATCGCCGGCTGTGACCCAAAAAGCAATAAATAAATAAATAAATAAACAAAATCACTTAAAAAAAAAAAAACTCTTGTTGGGGCTGGAGAGATAGTACAGCAGGTAAAGTGCCTGCCTTGTATACAGCCCACCTGGGTTTGATTCCTGGGACCCGAGATGGTTCTCCAAGCACCACCAGGAGTTACTTCCTGAGTGTAAAACCAGGAGTAACTCCTGAGAATCACCAGGTGTGACCCCAAAACTAACAATAACAAAAAAAGACTGCTGTGAAGGAACTTGGTACTGTTCCTTATATACCCAAATACTATCATACATTATATTCCAAGCAGAACTAAAGTTAATGGCAGAATTGGAAAAATAGCTCAATAGATTAGAACACATGCTTTACAAAAAAGTCCAGGTTTAACTCAATCAGGTTGCACCAGAAGTGATTCTCAAACAAACCGGGAGCAGCCCAGAAATCAAACTAAAAAGTTTTTTAAAAAAAGTTAATGACATATTATAGGGCCTCAACTCAGTATTAGGAAGAATTTTTCTAAAAATCAGGAATTTAACAATGGAATAAACTTCCTAGCAAGGTAATAAACCTCCTATCATACACTGTATATAAGCAGAACTTTGATGATTTTTGTCACAAACAATTCTAATCAGTCCCTTAATAATACAATCTTTCTCTTGCTGGAATCAGAGATAGCGGACATAAAGTACATTAAAGTGTATTAATGCACTTTACATACTTGCCTTACAATACAATCAATTCTGGTTCAATCATTGGTATCACAATAGCGCCCTGAGCATTGCCAGGGGTCAGGTCATTACTGAGCACAGAACCAGGTAAATCATGTAATCCCAGAATCCCAGAACACCACCCAGTGTGGCCCAAATAACCAAATAAAGAGGATGGAGAGAGTGGGGTAAGCTACTTGCCCTGAACACAGCTGACCTGAGTTCAATCCTATGCAGCCCATATGGTCTCTGCGGCCACCAGGAGTAATCCTGAGCACAGAGCCAGGAGTAACCCCTGAGCACCACTGAGAGTATCCAAAAAACCAGAAACAAACCCCCCAAAAGAGCTCCTGTTCAGTTAAAAAAAATTCTCGGTCATTTTTTATTAACCTACAGACATCTCTTATTTCTGTAAGATTTTATAATATCTTCATTTTGATTTTAAAATGCAAATTCTATTCTCTTAAATGTATAGAGGTAATAAAAACAATTTCAAATCTATTAGTATGGATATTTCAAAATTTTCTAGGCTGTCCAGGCTCATGTGAGCCTGTTCTCATGCTCTACCTTCTAAAGGGTGGTTTGTGTAGCCTCTGGTTATGAGATGGCTGCCAGAACACATGCAGTGAAGCTAGAGTTTTGTGACAGGAACTTGAAGATGAACAAGGCCACTCACTGAGAGCAGGAAGAAAAGGAAGGTCCTGAGCTGAGAACACCTTTCTCTGTCTAGGTTTTAAGGTTCTGGTCAGAGTCACTTAATTCTAAATTCATGCATGACTTCCCAAAAGGTACGTTTGTGAAGGTAAATAGAGAGGGGGGTAAGAAATCCTGCGGGCTGGGAAGGAACTTATAAAACCACTCAATTACAATTAGAATCCCTGAACAAAGGCAGAAATTACATATCAACTCTTGCCTATTAATGTCTGAAGGGCATATTTATATACTTCTCCTCTTTTACCACTAAATGATATGCATTTAGACAAACCATTTAACATTTTAAACAAACTGAATGTGAGGAAGAGGGGATAGTATTTTTAAAGACATTAACCCATAGCCTCTAAAGAGGCAAAAGGAGTACTTCTACTATACCCAAAGGGTACACTAAAAATTACCTGTTTCAGAATTTGACTTTGCATCAGTAGTGGATGATGGCTCACAAAGTTCTACATTTCTGGACTGAGCATTTTCAGAAGTGTTGTTAGGTTCAAATGAGGTGGATGGAGTAGAGACTGAGTTTTCTGACTGGCTGCCATTTGCTACTGTTGCTTCTCCTTTTAAAGAGTGCATCTAAGGAGAAAACATATTGAAACTTAGTTGGTAAGAATCTAAAATAATCAAGGTAGATGAAACCAAATATGAGTAAACCTATTTATACTCAGTAGGAGGTAAAGAAAAAATCTTTCAGGCCAATGAAAGAGCTGGAGCACAAAGTCTAAGGTCCAACCCCCAAACACCTCCAGGTCTAGCCCAGGCAGTGCCTAAAACTGCCGGGGAGACACAAAAACAAGCAAAACTCAGAACATTTTCTAAGAAGATGATACTAAATAAATGTAATACAAAACATGATATAAACACATTGTGAATGAACTCTAGTTATCTTATAACAAGAGCTAAAAGGTTTTGTAAGGTCCAAACTGATTTTCATAGACTTAAAAGCTAGGCTTTTTTTTTTTTTTTAAGTTGCAGGCTATATATAATAGTCATTTGCTTAAAGTGAATACACATGGGAAGCTGAGTATGGTCTTTTAAACATAGCAAGGAAGCAGTATGCCATCAGTTCTCTCTTAATAATAACAGGGACTCTCTTAATAACATTTACATGCTTTATGTGGTTGGGTGAGGGAAGAAAAAAAAAGTGAAAATAAAGAAGCCATTCAAGTATACAGGAACCTTTCAACTTTATAATGCTATTTACCAGTCCAGGAATACAGTATTTAACTTCTATTAAGAATAATGGCATAAAAAAAAAAAAGAAAAGAATAATGGCATGGCAGGTTCTTAAATATTCAGAGTGGTTCCAAAAATATTATAAAATTCCTGGCATATTGTTTTCCCACATTTATAAAAAGACCGATTTGCGTCCTTCACGCCCTACCGAGGTCACGAGTTGCCCCCCACAAGCGGCTCTCCAGCACAGCCATGGCCCCAGAGGCAAAAGGACTTAATCCAGAGTCCGGCAGCTTGTGGCAGAAAAGTGAATGGTCCATGCATTAAACTATGGCGCCATGCCTCCCCGGAAGGGAGTGTTGCTCCCTTCGACCTCCGCACCGCCACCCCCAGCAGCAAGATGGCCGCTGCCTCAGAGATTATAGAAAAGCCAGGTATGAGCTGGTGGTGACGGGGCAACTGCAGTCTCATGGGCAGGGGGGTGGTACCAGCTCATCCTCCACACCTTACCGAGGTCACGAGTTGCCCCCCACAAGCGGCTCTCCGGCACAGCCATAACACCAGACACATAGAAACCAATCTCATTAATTATCTGGCTCTTTGCAGAAATCCAAAATCGCAGCTGCGTGACATTATATGATTCTCATAACCAGCTATAGAAAACAAGTATTTCACAATGTCTTTTCAGCAATTCTGATTGTTGGGGGGGAATTCTAAATAATAATGGATGGTGCATCTTTTGTCGAAATAATAAATGTAATCAATGTAGAGAAGAGTTAAGTAGAAATCATCTGCCCCACAGGCATTGGGAGAGGGGTATATTGGGGTTCTTGGTGGTGAAAAATAAGTACTGGTGAAGGGAAAGGTGTTTGATCATCCTATGACCGAGACAAACCTGAAAGCTTAGCAACTTTCCCCACAGTGATTCAATAAATAAATATAAGAAGAAGAAAAAAAAAGACCGATTTGGTTCCTTCTTACCTGTCGGACTTTGTGAATTCTGGTAACAAGTTCATCTGCAGAAACACTTCCTGCTATTACTTCCAACGGAATTCCACTGTCTCCAATAAAGAAGCTGGATGGAACACACACTACAGGATCTGTACAGTTTAATTAAGTCTTAACAATTGATGGGAGACAAAGGAATATATATACAAAATGTGACTGCTAATAAGGCAAAAAAAAGTCACCTATAAATTTCACAATATAATCTGTTGGATTACAGTTCTAAGGGGTACTGATTTACACCCATCAAGTGCTCTTGAGGAACACCCAATTCCATCAGGTCTGCCTAATTCTCTGTGTTTATCTTGTTTTGTCTTTTGCTTTTTGGGTCACATTCGGCTATGCACAGGGGTTACTCCTGGCTCATGCACTCAGGAATTACTCCTGGCAGTGCACAGGGGACCAAATGGGGTGCTGGGAATCGAACCCGGGTCAGTCATATGCAAGGCAAAAGCCCTACCCGCTGTGCTATCGCTCCAGCCCCCTCTGTGTTTATCTTTAACCTCTCCTTTGTGATCTTCTTCCCGTTAATCACTTATATCCCCAAATTACACCCCATAACTTGTAAAGTCAAATTCTTGTGAGGGCTCCGAATTTTATATATGTAAGTGAAATAATGCTTTTCTCTCTCCCTTATGTCCTTTGCATAGTTTATTTTACAGTGTACTAATAAGTCAATTTTAAGATGACTGTTTAAATGGGTACTAGCTAAGAAAAGGAGATAGATTTCGGCCCTTAGGCAGATACCCTAGCAGGAATTTAGAGTGCGGAGCACTCAGATGAGATTTTGTCCTTGAGTAGTTCTCCTAGAAGACCTATCCCTGAAGGAAAGGCTTTACATCTGTCCATTGTTTATGATAATGTTCTAGCATGCTTATGAAAAAATTTCTACCCCCAAACCCTTCTTGATTTCTCTGTAACTGTGCTATGAGACTTGAATAAATGGTCACTGATTACCAACCAGCCTGTGGCCCCAGTTCCTTGGCTCTTCCTTGGCCAGGGTTATGGTGATTAGGTCCCAAATGACCCCTGGCAGGATGGCAACATCCAGGAATAGCAACAATCAACAAAAATATTCATAATTTCAATTTATTATCAAACTTATATATTGCATTAGAGATAATCACAATTTAGCAATTTTCTATGAGTCCTGCCACTACAATGTACTGTCTCAGACAGTAAAATAAAGTTCCCATAAACATAAATGTATGAATTCCTAAGAAATTTCCAAATGTCATGAATTAACCAAAAGGAAGAAATATTCAAATTATATACAAACCAATTCTTCATTGAAAGGATACAGATTTGTGAAAACTGTAGACAGGCTTCACTGTAAACCAAAATCAAACAGAAAATCACTAGATGAATATACAACTTTTTTCAGTTTTTATAAAATTTCATTTACTAATTACAAGTACTTTTCTAAAACCAGTTCCTTTCATAGCCAGCTCTGGAAGAAGAAAGATGTAATTCTTACTCCACAGACTCACTTTAATTTTAAAATCTTCAGATTAAACAACTACTTGCTCTTGTAACCCATTAAGACCCAATGACTAAAAATCAAATTATTATCTGCTATGTTGATCACTCAGCAACAAGAATATCTGAATAAAGTATCTTGTAACAAGACAATATTAATGCTTATGACTTACTTGTGCAGGTGATTATATACTTCTAACAAGAAAAAGGGTCCCTAAAAGTATGTCCAATGTTACCATTTTTATAAAACAAAATGGGAGGGGGGAAGACAGAAATTGGAGGAAGACTTTTTAATCAGTCTTTTTATCAGCCATATGGCCCCCTGGATATTCCAAGGGGCCTCAGGTGAAAATCATGTAAATGGGAGCAAGGGGAAGGGTGGACAGCATGATATACAGGGAGTCATGGAAAAAAACAAGTCAGAAGAGGCCATGATCGGAAAAAGGTTTAGAAACATTGTCTACATGATAATATGAGTAAAATGTAAATACAGGGCAGGAGAAAGTCCGAAGGCAGGTGTGTATGCCACGCATGTATGAAAACCAAGTTTGATTCCCTGCACTACAGGACCCCCCCACCCCAAGTAGATGTAACCTAGTGGTCCCCAGCACTCTGGAAACTCAAAGCAGCTCTGCAATCACTAGGCTATGCATGGTCACGCATGTACTGCAGGTCTGATTGTTCCCTATGCACAATAAGGAGCCCTCCATAAAATACACGTATGTATATTTTATGTATATTTATGTATATTCTTAAACACTGGTTTAATGTTTAAAAGAATAATTCCAAAAATTAAATTATGCTTTCAAAGACTAGAAGTTTCTTTATCATGAAAATATAAGAGAATATAAAAAAATTACTCAGATTTCTACCTTCTCAGATATGTACTATAAACATTTATTTTTGAAGGGGGAGGGACTGGCAAAACCAGTCGTGCTTAGAGTCTATTCCCAGTGCAGCACTGAGTTTGTTGTGTCAAGGGTGCTTGAGGGACCATAAAGTGCCAGAAATTTAACCTAGAGCTCCCGCATACAAAGCAATGCTCCAACATTCTGAACTACCTCTTAGTCCAACACTACAAACCTGTGATACATTTCTTGTTATTTTATTTTTAAAGCAAGCCATCATCATAAATTATTATACACTATTACCAAAACATATGATTCAGTTATTATTATACAGTAAAATGTACTTCTAGTAACTAAAGACATATTTCAAATACTCATTGACTGTATTAGGCACTGAACTAAGACATCATACTAGTCCATAATAAAACAAACATCAACAATCACCATATCATACTAGTATCATATTCCATACCAGTATGAAATTTTAAAATTCTAGATAAGTAATCAGAGACAGTTAATGGGCTGGGTGCATTACATATGGAATACTCAGATTCATTCGTTGGCTCTGCATGATTCCCAGGAGTACCATTTGGTATGGCTCAAAACACACAAAAAAGTTTTAATGCCAGATTTATCTATATGTAATATAGAGAGCTCTGAAATTTGTACATTTTCCACATTCCAATAAACTCTCATTCCACCTGCCATCACTAATTCTAAAAGGTGCTTCTATAATAATAGAAAGAGTTTAATAATAAATAGCAATATATTCATCTTTTGTACATTACAGAATGAGGGATGTGACTCAGAGGCAAAGCACATGCCTTGCATGAATGATACCTGAGCTCAAATCCTCAACACAATAAAAAACAAAATTAGTATAGCTAAAAAATGATTTGGTAACTGCTGCTGTAAAGCAGACTGTACCATTATTCACTTTATGATATTTTTGTTAATATTTAAATTTCTTTCAATTGTAAGTTTATAAACAGAGTCAGAGAGAGTACAGCAAATACAGCACTTGTCTTGCACACAGCTGACCCAGGTTCAATCCTCTCATCCCATATAATCCCCACAGCCTCACCAGGAGTGATCCCTGAACACAGAGTCAGAAGTAAGCCCTGAGAACCAGTAAGTGTGGCCCGAAAACCAAAACCAAGCAGTGCCCAGGGGACTAGTAACTGCTCTTGGCGAGAATGGGCCTGACGCTACTTGAATCCAGCAGTGCTGATGGTTGTCAGGGTTACCCAGGCAGTGCCCAGGGGACCATGCATGTCAGCATCAGTTCTAGCCCTTTGAACTATCCCTGGCTTTAGAGGTAAATTTTTGAGTATTTCAGTCTTAATAGTAACTTGAGTGGGTGAGTAGCCTTCTGGAAGTGCTCAAGGGCTACTTTCAGTTCTGTATCCCATGGTCACACCTGTTAGTGCTCAAGAGGTAATGTGATACCAGGGATTGAACCTGGACCGCCTGCATGCAAAAACATGCAAAAACGTGAGCTTTAGCCCATTAACCTTTATCTCCAAGACCTATTTTTTTGTTTTGTTTTGTTTTTTGGGGTTTTTTTTTTTTTTTTTTGCTTTTTTGGGTCACACCCGGCAATGCACAGGGCTGACTCCCAGCTCTTCACTCAGGAATCACTCCTGGCGGTGCGTGGGGGAACCATATGAGATGCTGGGAATCGAACAGGGCTGGCCGTGTACAAGGCAAACGCCCTCCCCGCTGTGCTATTGCTCCAGCCCCATCCAACAACTATTTTTGATTGTAATTTTCAAACATTATTCATTCTGATACTATAGGTATCATTAAGAACAGACACTCATACTTTGCAAGTGCTAATGAATGTTTCTAAGTCCCATAAACTAATGGATACTACTGTCATAACCTGTCATAACGAGAAAACTTAATGAGTCTTCTAATGGAATACCAAAAGACATAACAGCCATCTATGAAATAGTTTTGCTTTGGGAAGGAAAACAAAACCTGAATTCAACTATCAATTTACAGGAACTAGAGAGACAAACCCAATTACATTAATATGGCAGCAGTCAACAAAATTCACACTGTAGGAAACTACAGGACAAATCACCCAGTTTCTTAACTATAAAAGGTAAAAGTAAAGGACCTATAGGGGCAGCCCACGAATTAAAAGAGACTTTAAAGAAATGAACACATCATAATGTGTGGATCATGATAAATCTTGATCCAAAGTGAAATCAACTAAATTAATAATAAAACTAAGACTTTATAACAGAATGGGAGACTAACACCCAAAGATAGTAAAGATAAGGACTAGAAGAATTGCTCCACGGCTTGGAAGCCAGCCTCACATGCTGGGGGAAAAGGCAGCTCAGATAGAGAAGAGATTACCAAGTAAAGGATGCTTGGAGGGCCCGCTCGGGATGGGAGATATATGCTGAAGGTAGACTATAGACCAAACATGATGGCCACTTAATGCCTGTATTGCAAACCACAACACCCAAAGAGGGAGAGAGAGTTAAAGGGAATGCATCTGCCACAGAGGCAGAGAGGAGTTGGGGGTTGGGGGTTGGGGGGGAAGGTGAGAATGGACACTGGTGGAGGGATGGGTACTTGATCATTGTATGATTGAAATGTAAGCACTAAAGTTTGCAAGTCTGTAACTATACCTCACGAGATTCATTAAATAAATAATTCCAAAATAAATAGCTGTTGACAGGCAAATAACAGAAATAGCAAAGCACTGTACATTCCAGAACATTTGTAGTATAGCAGTTTACAACCATATATGTTATTTATCTTGCCTTTCAGTATCAGAGTGAAAAGGTTTCTTTTCTAGTAATTGTTCTCGTGACAATAAGCAAGGTTTGAAAAGCAGTGACTTTTTCTGCTGAGTTCCTAAAGTTAGAAATCATAATGGAAGCATTATAAATGTAAAGATAAAAGCGTAGATGAAAGTTGGTCTATTGTTACTTAAACCTTTGTGATGTTTTCTATGTTTTCTACAAGGAAATACATAGAGAACATATTTTTTTAAATTTATTTATTTATTTTGCTTTTTGGGTCACACCCGGCCATGCACAGAGGTTACTCCTGGCTCTGCACTCAGGAATCACCCCTGGCGGTGCTCGGGGGACCATATGGGATGCTAGGAATCAAACCCAGGTTGGCCGCATGCAAGGCAAATGCCCTACCCGCTGTGCTATTGCTCCAGCCCCCACAGAGACCATTTTAAAGTTAAAAAAAAAAAAAAAAAACCTAAGTCTTTAATAAGACAATTTAAATTCTAAACATGGGCTATGTATTTTATATTAGGGATTATTAATACGTTTTTAATGAATTCAGTTATATAATAAGAACCCTTATCTTTCAGAGTTACTAAAATATTTAGAGATGAAGTGACATGATCACCTCTACATTTGCTTCAAAAATTAAGTAGGGGGCCGGGGAAATAACTGAATTGCTTTGCATATATGGCAGCCCAGAGCTCAATCCCCAGGACAACATGACCCGCAGCACTACCACAAGTGACCCTCCAAGCACCACCAGTGTCACCAAAAAGAGAAAAAAATAATTAAGTGGATCTAGAGATGTTAGTTCAGTAAATAGAGCACTTGCTTTGCATGTCTAAAGTCATGTGTTTTACCTCAGCACCAAACATACACAAAAATAAGTTGAATGAGTGCAAATTAGTGGAGTACGAAAAAACAAAATTCTGAGTTATTCATTACTGAAGCTGATAAGTACTAAAGGTTCATTATATTACTCAGTTACTTTTGTATATGATTAAATTTTCTATTGAAAAAGTATTTTTAAGCAGAGAAGAAAAAACAAAACAATCCTGTACTCTGAGGGATCTATAAATGTCCCAATTCCTACTGCATCAAATGCTTCCATTACCGAAACGGGACCTACATAGAGATGCCAACATTCATTCATACATATATATATATATGTACATACACACACACATATATACGTGTATATGTGTGTGTGAGTGTGTATCCACCCAATATGATTTACAGTTACTTCTATCAAGTTTCGGGAAACTGACCCCTAAAATTCTTTGCATTTGTGCTACATGCACAAATTACTTAGAGAGACAAAAACTTAAGTTTCTTCAACAAGACAGAATAAATTTGGAGGGGCTCGAATGATAGCATAGCGGGTAAGATGCAGGCCTTGCACGCCGACAACCAGGTTTGATCCCCTGCATTCTATGTAGCTGTGTTGTCACCATACCTCCCCCACTCCTGCTCCTCACTGCCAAGCAGTGCTAAGAGTAATTACTGAGTACAGAGCCAGGAGTAACTCTGAGCATTGGTGGGGATGGCCAAAACAAACAAACAAAAAAAGTAGTAAATAAATAAATACTTAACTTAAAAAAAAAGAAGAAGAAATTTGGGAAAGGGCAATCAGAATTTACGCCCCCAATAAAACACAAACCTACCTTTTGGTATCGATTTTAATAGCAACAAAACTGTTTGAAGATGCTTCTGTCACTTTCTCATCTTCCCAACTTGCAGCCATCTGTGTAGACTGCTCATCATCACCTGTAAAATATCAGAAGGTTCTTAAAAAGCAAGTATTTACTGACTGCATATTGTTTTCCCTTAAGATCTGGAACTTCAAATGGAATATAATAACATAGTACTATTTTTTTTAAATCAAAATAAAACCGAAATTTTCTGTAAGAGCAAAGTATGACTAGATATAGTATAACAATTTAAAAGAAAAAAACAACCACTGCTAATTTCACAAGTATTTTTATGTTTTGCCTTTTTTGGCTTTTGAGCTATACCTGGCAGGGCAAAGAGGCTACTCCTGGCTCTGTGCTCAGGGATCATTCCTGATGGTGTTTAGGAGACCATATGTGGTGTCAGGTATCAAGTAGGATAGCCCTGTGCAAGGCAAGTGTCCTACCTGCTATATCTCTCTGGCCTCATGTTCTCATTTTAGCAAATAAATATACTATAAATATCCTTTATGTAGCTGCTTTCTGTTGCATTTAACATCTACAGTGCTGCAATAATTTTCAGAATTCTTCCAGGGTAGAGACAAGCACAATTCTATTTATAGTTTGAACCTGCCTTTTATTATAGGTATGCAAATTATAAAAGCTATACTGATAACAAGCTAATTTGTGGTACAGTATATAATTCCGTAAACTGGCTACCATAGTAGAGGTGTTAGTGATTGGAAAACTATATGAAGGAGCCCTCTGGGGTACTGGAAGTGTTTATATCTTGGTCTAGGTAAAAGTTACATTAGTGTATTCATTCAGATTCACTGTGTTTAGTTTACACACTAAGAATATACACTTAGAATATACACTTAGTATATATTTATTTATACCATCCATCATTTATACTTATACTTTCTATCATGCCATACCTCAGCAACAAGGTATTTGAAGTATTATGTCTATCAAGAGATTATTTCCAGTTTATAGAAGTCAAGAAAAGAAAACAACCTCTTCTTTGGCAAACATACATGCGCATGTGCACACACACACCCACAAACTGGAATTCACTATTTTTAAAAGGATGAAGGTTAGAGACTGAAACACAGACTTTTCATGCAGAAAAGGTCTGAGTTTGATCTCTAGAACCAAGTAATTTCCCATCGATTTCCCCTCCTAGCTCTCCCAGGAACTTTCCTGAGCACAAAGTTGGGAGTAGTCCCTGATGACTGCCAGGTGCGGCCCAAAAATAATAAAAGAAAACAGAAACTCTTTATTTTCAACATTAATGAACCTTCTAGGGAATATAAGTGAACAAATCAGAACAAGAAAAATACTATATAGAAAATACTATATTTTTTCTATAGTATTATATAAATACTATAGAAATATAGAATACAAAGGAACACAAAGAAAATTATTTTTTAAAAAAAACCTTTTCTGGAGAGAGAAATTAATGGTTACCCAAAAAAAGGAGGGAACTGAAGTATATGTGAAACAGGTAAAGTTGATGATAGATGGAAATTAAACTTTTGGTATATGAGTATATAAAGATGCTGAATTTTAATGTTGGCAGTACACCTGAAACCTATACAATGCCATAAACCAATGTTATCTCAAAGAAAATTAATAGCAGTATAGATATAGCACAAGAGGTAGCACGCATATGACCTGTTTTATTCCCAGCACAAAAGGTTCTCCTCAATCATCTTGGAATGAAAATGTGGGACCTATAATTTAGCCCCAAATACTTAGGCCCTAGTACTGAACTAGTCTGGTTGACTGAGTAACACAGCAAGTGGCCCCAAGATCCCCTGAGCACCACTTAGGAAGCCAAGAAAATATAAATAAAAAATTTAAAGACTATTTCCATTTAGACCTATAATGTCTAGATTTCAGCCTAAATTTTTATCCCTTGGTAAGCAGCAGAAAGTTAAATCAATGAAAATTACTACCTAAATCAATGAAAATTACTTGAGGTTAGCAGAGCTAAGTACTTTCTTAAAGGCAAGCAACCTTCGCCAATTTATGCAAGACTGTGTTTCATAAAAATGAGACTCCATACCTCTTCTTTAACTATTTTACCCACCCTATATGCATCCTTCTTCCCTAATTTAATCCATTCTTAGCCATATCAGTTATCTGTTTACACTAATTTAATCCTTTCACTTATTAGGCAAAAAACCTTATCAACTCTACCTCCACATTTTACTCAGATTTGACCACTAAAAGTGCTAAGAAAGCACTTCTACCACCTTGATTTGTGCTACCATTTTCATCTACATGATTAAGATTACCTCCTGGACCAGAAAAACAGCTCAATGGACTGGAGTGCACTGTAGGGGATACTGTTTAGATACTCAGCACACTTAGTCCCCTCACGCTTCATAAGGAGTATGCTCACCCCCGAGCAACTGGTGCTCACCATTAGCCAGTGAGCTAGTGTAGTATAGTAGCACTGTCCCCCTGTTGTTCATCGATTTGTTCAAGTGGGCCCAGTAACATCTCCATCATGAGACTTCTTGTTACTGTGTTTGGCATATCGAATACATCATGGGTAGCCTGTCTTCTAATCTCTCCCTAATCAGTATATTATACATTATGTTTTTTTAAAAGTTGGAGAGGCAAAAAAAAAAGAAAAAAAAAAAACAGCACAACAGGGTTGAGCATATGCTTTGCATGTAGGAGGTCCAGGCTCCACTGCTAACACCACCTGGTCCCCTAGCAATCTCGGGGTGGCAAGTCCTCTCCTCACTGATCTGGCACTGCTGGGGGCATGGTATCTTACAGAAAAAACTCTCTCCCTCAAAGAGTCAGAACTATAGTCAAGCCTCTGCTCAAAATCCTATGTGGGGCTCCCTATTTTCCTCAAAGTGAAAGCCAAAGCCCTAACAAATGATCTCGGACCTCCATCTCCCTCTGATCAAAAGTCATTTTCTTGCTATTCTCTTTCTCTTTAATACTCAACTTTGAAAGCCATCCTCTGTTTCAAGGTACTTGTACTATTTCCTCTTCCTGAAATGTTATTCTACCAGATATCCACAAAGTTGACTCAACTCTTTTAAATCTATTCAAATATTATCTTAATAGTCTCTCCTACTCACTTTAAAACTATACCCTTCATATATATGTATACACACACACACATACATGCAAAGTTCCTTTATTCCTTTTTTCCCTGTAAGATTTAGCACATTCTAACAAACTATTATTTCCTAACTGTAATTACTGTTTGTCTTCTTCTGCTAGAATGAAAGCTCCATGAGGACAAGGACGGTTTCCCTTTTTTTTTGGGGGGGGGAGGGGGTTGGGGGATTGGGGTAGGGGAGGAGGTTTGGGTCACACCTGGCAATGCTCCAGGTTCTGCTTTCAGTAATTACTCTTGGGGTGCTCAGGGCACTATATGGGATATTTGGAACTGAACTCAAGTCAGCCACAGGCAAGACAAATGCCCTATTTGTTATACTATCACTCCAGCCCAAGGAGGATTTCCTTTTTTCTACAACTCAAATGCTTACAACATCTCTAGCCCCCTTGAGTATATTTTTATGTGATGACATCCAGGAATATCAACCATAGGGCTTTAAAAAAATCTAGATATAGAAAGAAAACAGTAACTAGAAAGCATCTGCAGACTCAGACCAAAACAAATATTCTCTGCCCTGGGGCTGAAGTAATAGCAGAGTGGATACAGTGCTTGGCCTTGCAACCAGCTTATTCAAGTTGGATCCCCAAAATGCATACGGTTCCCCAAGCACCAAAGTATCCTGAACACTGCTGAGTGTGGCCCCCTAACAAAAACAAAACAAAACAAAACAAAAGGTTTCCATCAGCAGATTTTTAGATACTGAAGCAGCATGGGGTGGGGGGGGAGCTATTATTTGCAAGTGATATCTCATGATATCTTCAGAGATGCAAAATTCCTAGAAAATAATTCCACGTGAAATCAACCTAGAAAATCTCTATGGAAACATTCTGACTACAAATACTTTGTAGATGGCTTTTAAGCATGAGAAGTTCTTTTCATTATTTCATAAATTCACTACTTTATTCCAGGGGTTTGGAGAGATACTAAACTATTCCAGGGGGCTGGAGAGCCCTGAACATTATTTTATTCTTTATTTACTCTGTACAATAAATTAAATACCAAGATAACAGCATACTATCTGTCCCCGATGGAGTTTAAAATCAAAATTAAATACAATGGGAAAATGAGGGAAAAGAACAAAGCCAGGAGAGAAATATAAGGTCTATCTGAATTAGTCAGGGAAGTTCTCTTTGGGTGAGAATACTTAAAGGATGAAAGAGCTAGGCTGGGGAGGTACACTACCTCAGTGATAGAGCATTTGCTTTGCATGTGTGATACTCTGGGTTTAGACCCTGGCATCACACCAAGAAAGAAAAAGAAAAGATGAAAAGGCTGAGCCATACCAAGATCCACATTTCACTAAGCTCAAGAAATTTATGTGCCAGGAGAGGCTTATGTGATTGAGAGTGTCATGAAGCACAGGGGGCAGGAGACAAAAGCAGAAGATGGTTCCCACACTTAAAACTTATCCAACTATCCAAAAATGGATCTGAGGTCCATTTATTTAGTTGAAAAACACTGGGGACAAAAACAGTTTAGATACGAAGTAAATTTCTAATACTTTTAGACATAAAAAATTATATGAGGCATCCAAATAGGAAATATCAAGTTAGTAGCTGGAAGTAAGCTACTTCTGAAGTTGGTGCATTTCATTCCTTCACCTATGTTGTACCATGTGATTAGGGTTCTAAATATCATATCCCCATTTGTAATGTCTGTCAATGACCAGTCTACAAGCAGCAGCAGCTGCGGAAGTAAAAGAGGAATTGAAAAGAATTATTCAAGTCAAGAAGAACTTTCTTAATTTTCTGCAATGCTAGGCATCATGCATGCATGCACTGAACCACATCACCAGCCCAATGCAAACTTTAATACTATGTGGAATTATGAATAGCCAACTTTGTCTTTTTTTAAGCATCTCCAGTTTATTTATTTAGTTTCTGGACCACACCTGACATTGCTCTGGACTTACTTCTGGCTCTGAACTAAGGGATCACTCCTGATGGTGCTCAAAGGACCACATAAGATGGGATGACAGAGATCGAAACCAGGTCAATGGTGTGCAAGGCAAATACCCAATCTGCTATACTATTGCTTCAACCCCATCTACAGTTTATTTTTAATCAAATTATAAAGAAAGCAATGGAATTTTAATATTTTAGGTGCTATTATTTTAGATGAGCACATCATATCCTTATTGGTTTAAACAGTTTCCAAAACAAAGGCACTTCAAAAATTATACTCAGAAATTTGGAGTTGTAGATCCGGCGACATAGGATGTTCTGAGCCCGCATCAGGTTGTCTTCACCTGGGCAACTCAGAGGAGGGGCGAGTTCAGTTTTCCTCCCCACCCCAGCAGAACCCGGGCAGCTGAAAACCTCCAGAACCCAACCACAGTCATGCTCACAGCCTCTACAGGCTCAGACGAGCCTCACCCACGATGAAACCTGTACAAAAACCCAGGTACATGGGACCCATGGCTGAAATCGCCAACCTCGCTCAGCCAGGGAATGGGCCTCCTCCCCACAGCTCCCAAGTTTTTCAGTAGCTTGGCAGTCACAGCCACAAGCTGCCCATGGCGCCATATAATCTCATCAACAGCCAAAACCCAAAGACTCTGAAATAAAACTCCCAGAAAAGAGCAAAATAGGCCTTACCCATGAGTGAATCTGCTCTACAATCATATTCTAAATTTTAGAATTCCTGGAGCACGCAGTCACCTCTCATACTCTACCACACTGATGTACTAAGAGTGACACACATTTGTTTGGGTTTAACATACATGTTTGTAATATCTTATACAAGGGCTTAATGGCTCCAGGATAAAATACAACAATCTTCACACACTTTCCTCTTATGGTGGTGGGAAGGTGCAATGGTGGTGGAACTGGTGTTTGAATATTAAATGTAATTAATTACTGTGAACAACTTTATAAAAATTAAATTAAAAAAAAAGAGTTGTAGACCCAAGTATACCAGCAATGCCAAACTAGAAAATTTCAACCTAAAGACGTGGTTTTTTTTTTTTTTTTTGCTTTTTGGGTCACACCCGGGGATGCACAGGGGTCACTCCTGGCTCTGCACTCAGGAATTATCCCTGGCAGTGCTCAGGGGACCACAAGGGATGCTGGGAATCAAACCTGGGTCAGCCACGTGCAAGGCAAACGCCCTACCTGCTGTGCTATCACTCCAGCCCAGGAAGTGGCTTATTTTAACCAAAAAGGCAGTAAATGCTGTCTAATGTTCAGAAAAATTGAGTCCAAGGGGCTATTATCAATAGTACAGCAGGTACGGAGCAAGCAGCTATGTGGGTTCAGTCCTCAGCACTCCATATGGTTCCCAGGACCGGCAAGGAATGGTCCTGGAGCACAGAGCCAGGAGTAAGCACTGAGCACTGCTGAGTGTGAACCAAAAATAAAACAAAAAATATAAGCCAGAACTGGTGTTGTGGTTGAAGTCAAGGAGTACATGCCTCAAGGCAAACATAATTTTTTAAAAGGAAGAAAAGAAATTTTAGCAATAAGATTTTTAAAAAATCTAGCAGCAACATTTCAGGGGTGGAGTGCTCACACCCAGTGGTGCTCAAGGATTGGCTTATACCTATGTTCAGGGATCACTCCTGGTGGTGCGCAGGGGACAATGTTGGGCTAAAGATGCCTCACCAAGCTGGCCACCACAAGGCAAGCCCCTTACCCACTGAACTATTTCTCTGGCCCAGACTCAGGATCCTTGTCAGATTATTCCGTATCTCTGACTCAGGATCTTTATCACATATTCTTGCTCCCCAAGAATAGAACCAAACATTTCTTCAGTTGTATTTCCAATATACCAAACTATAAATCCACAAAAATCCTTGTTAAACTGGCTGAAATAATCTCTAGTATCAGTCTCTTAACATCAATCCAATCATATTTATTACTTCTGTAATGAGAATTTCACTAAACACAAACAAGTGGCATGTTTACCATCTTAATGGTTATATGAAGCAAACTACACCCTCAAAACTCCTCTTAGCATGGTACAATGCATGCGGTTGACCTGACTGCTGACCTGGTTGTATCCCCCACCATCCCATCTGGTCACCTGAGTGCTGAGCTAAGAGTAACCTCCGAGCATTGCGGGGTGTGGCCCAAAAAACAAACAACAAAACTCTTCTTTCAAGCTATAAATCTATCTTTTCAATTTTCCCCTGACTTGGTAGGTTGTTGTTGAGGTTCCATATGGAACTAAACAGACTTATTCTTGAAAGTTATGAAAAGAGTTCTAAGCAACTAAGCAACTCTAAGAGTGGCAGCTTCATTAATGCCAATGTCTACCCCGAGTGACACTAATCCTACTTAGTCCTAGAGATTAACTTCCTCAAAGTCTAGAAAAACCAAAGGTATTCTGAAAGGGTTAAGAACAGACGCCTCCAAAAAAAAAAAAAAAAAGGCAAGGGGCTTCCTGGAAACATTTAATAGTCAATGATATTCTCACTGCATTAAATAATGCTCAACAGTGACATATTAATTGAAGAATATATAAACCAAAGCCCTAAAGATCTATAACTTGATTTTACTATTGTAATAATTAGTACTGCCATTTCTAAACTACTTTTCAAACATTTGAAATTAAATCCAGCACTTCCAATACAGCGTTTCTTCTTTCAAATGAATTAAGCAATCCTGCCTTCAAAGAACATTTGGACACGTCCAGTGAATTCAAAATTTGCTGATTTCTACACCAATTTAAACAATTACAGAAAGAGCCCCTACTTAGGGGCTTAAATAGCAGTTCTCCTTCGGCAGGAAACAAAAAGATCGCATATGAAAAATACAACTTATATCATGAACTATTCTATGTGTAATAAGCATGCTAGCATCGAATTTTCCTTTTCTTCGGAATCTTTTGCCCCTCTGAAGCGATGTGAAATATAACTGTACACAGTTTGAGACTTTACACTCCCACTTTATTTAAAAAAAAAACAAAACAAAAAAAACCCAGGAGCATGAACAAGCAAAACTACCCAGATAGCTTAAAACAGGGTTTCTGAAACTGGTGATTCTACGACGAGTTCAGACAACAAAGAACTGAATATCTACTACTTCTAAAACATGATTCTGTTCGATTTTTTTTTTTTTAAATCCAACTGCAACAAAGCTCTCCGTTCCCGCAGGAGGCTCTTCCTCGCACAAGATCCTTAGAGGTAGGAAAAGGAAAAGGTGCGGAGGTAGAGGCACAGGACAAGGCCGCCCGACGCCGAGCTCCCAAGTTCGCGTCTCGTGTCCACTGTACCGAGGCCAGGGGCCGTGGACTGACATCAGGTGGTTTCCCTTTGTTGCCTCGCTGATGACACAGCTTTCCTCCCTGACAGTCTCGGGGCAGACACGCACCCACTGCCCGTGGCGTGGTCTGGTCCGGCCCCAGCCCCAGCCCCTCGGACTCCGCGGCCGTCCAAGCATCCCCCCGAGCGGGCCTGGGGCCTGGAGCGCCCCGCGGGGCCGCGCCCGAGCCCGCGATCCCGAGTGGGGGTGGGGGTGGGCCGGCCGCCAACCCGTCGGGGGTGGGGGGGGGGAGTGCGGCCCGCCACGTCCCCCTCCAGCGGCATCGGAGGGCCAGCGGCGGGCCTCGGCTCGCTGTGGGGCTGAGGGGGCTGAGGGGGCTGAGGAGCTGAGGAGCTGAGGAGTGAGGGGCTGAGGGGGCTGAGGGGGCTGAGGGGCTGAGGGGCCTGAGGGGCTGAGGGGCTGAGGGGCTGAGGGGGCTGAGGAGCTGAGGGGCTGAGGGGGTGAGGGGCTGAGGGGCTGAGAGGCTGAGGGGCCGAGGCCCGGACGCGAGCGCCGGGAGAAGCGGCCGCCCAGGGCCTGGCTCCGTGTGGCCCCCCCAAACAAACGGACGCTGAGAAGCGGCCCCGGGGCAGGGGGGAGGGGGAAGAAGGCAGCGAGGCGGGGTGGGGGGGTGGGGAGGGGCGCCCGGGCTCGAGCTAGGCCTGACAGACGGAGGGGAGCGGGGAGTCCCGGGCCGCGTCTCGGCCGCCGCCCCCTTCACCTGCCACGAACACCACGAAGACGGCGCCGCTGCTCTTGGCCGACGCGATGGCGGCGGGAATGGCGCCCTGGAACCACAGCATCGTTCCCGTGGGGGCCCGGGCGCTCGCTCCCTCGCTCGCTGTGTCGTCGCCGCGGCGTCGGAGCTGGCCTGCCCCCCCCTTCTCGCCCCGCTTCTGGCCGCGGCCCCCGCAGCCACCGCGGCTCCAGGTCCCCGCCTCCGGCTCCGCACAAACGCGCAAGCCCGTCAGCAGCCCCTCGGGGACGCGCGCGGGCGCGCGGCCTGGGGAGGGGCGGAGGCGCGCCCCGCGTCACGTGACGCCGCACGGCGCCCCGGCAAGCCCCGCCCACCCGCCCCCGCCGGCTCTTCGCTGGCGTGTCCCAGAGGCGGGGACGAGTGGGAGCGTGCGCGCTACCCCGTGATCCGCCCGCGGGAACGCGCGTCAGCGAGTCCCGGAAGTGGACGGAGCCGGGGAGGGGGAACGATGACTAACCGCTCTGGGGCGCCTCCTTCGCGGGGCATGTCGGGAATTGTAGTCCCAGACTGGTCCTCTGGACGCCGTGTTCCAGCTAACTGTGGTTGCCCGGGGCATGGCTCTAGGGGACGGTGGAGAAAGCCACAGATTTTTCTAGAAGGCAGGGGAGGAAGTGGCGCTCGCTTACTGGGAGACGACGTGCTTTTTAGTCCCGTAAGTGTGCAGGAGATCATCCCCTCCTGAAAACCTGCAAATAGTGGAGGATGTGGCTCTGTGCTATGATCAGTGGCCACTGGATCAGTTTGGGTGTCTCTCAATAAGGAACTCAATGGACTTTATAGGGATTTACTGAGAGGCTTTTGTTTCTGTCGAACTTACGGTTCCAACCTTGAAGTAAAGAAAGACAGGGGTAAAACCACAATAGTGGGAGCAGGGATGTAACTCAGTGATAAACGTGTGCAAGACCTGGATCCCACCACAACAAAATCATAAAGCAAGCAATACTCACAATAGTCCCTTTTTGGGTGGGCTGTAGGCACGCCTTGGTCAGTTTCCTAGCCTTTGACTAAAGATCAAAATCCCTAGCCTCAAAACAACTAGCTAAAGTTCCCTGGTAGCTTTAGAATATTTAGAGGAGATTTATTTTAGTTTACTTTTTATTTTTTCAAAGCTGTTCGTGATTGGATTTCAGTCACAATATTCCAACACCCATCCCTCCACCAGTGTACATTTCCCTGCATCAGTGTCCTCAGGTTTCTTCCCATCACCTCCCCACCCCTCCACCCTCTGTCTACCTGAATGGTAGACGGTTTTCTTCTTTCTCTTACAAGAGATGTATTTTAGAATAGATTTATTCACTACCTCTTTTCCTGGTAATGCAAAAGATTTTTGTTTTCAATTGTATAGGGAAATGTTCCCTAATCAAAATATGGTACTTGTTGGGTGCCATTAAAATGAAAATAACCCAGTTATTATTTTCATGAAATGACATGAACTCTGATTTATTTAATATTTTATACACTGTATGTTCTACATTAATTAAACTTGTCCTTCAGCGCATAAGAAAAGCTCTGTGACTTATAGTGCCTGTCTTGCAACCTTAGGAGCATATGGTCATGTGTTCAATTCACACATTCAACTATCCAGTGTCCTATATGTGCTGAGTATGATCCTGGCAATTTTGTTATTGAAGTCTAGCAGCCCTTCTATATGTGACCTTGGCACAATTTTTTTTTAAAGAATTTTGGGTTCCAGGGAGATAGCTCAACAGATTGGAGTTCATGTTTGCACACAGGAACCCCAGAGTTAATCTCTCACAACTCCAGAACTGAATGTGATCAACCTCTTCCCCATTTTTAGAATATTTGCCAAAAAAACAACTATTTGATCATCTTTGCAGGATTAAGGAAGTGCTAGATCTGAAAAATACTTATTTTCTATAAATTTGAAACCTAAAAATAGCTAACAGGTTGCACTTTCATTTAATTTACATTTTTCTGCTCAGGCCTCTTGGATAGTTTTGTTATAGACTGAAACAACGCTGAGTATAGAGAGTTGCTCCTCATATAGGACACTGTTTCTTAAGAAGAATTAGAGTTGATCTTCAACATCAGCTTTATTACGTTTCTTTTCTTTTAACTTCTTTTTTTGTATTATATGACTTATTATTCTGTATATCAGATTTTTTTTTAATTTTTATTAGTGAGACACCATGAGGTACAGTTGTAGACTTACAAATTTTGTGCTTGGGTTTCAATTATACAATGATCAAATACCCATCCCTCCACCAGTGCCCATTTCCCACCGCCACGGATCCCAGTATCCCTCCCATCCCCCACCCCCACATCCCACCCTGCCTCTGTGGCAGGGCATTCCCCTTTGTTCTCTCCCTCCTTTTGGGTGTTGTAGTTTGCAAAAGAGGCATTGAGTGGCAATCATGTTTGGTCTATAGTCCACTTTCAGCATGCTTCTCCTATCCTGGGAGGATCCTCCCAACACCCTTTATTCTTTTTACTTCTTTTTAACATCAGCTTTAAATGGATTTCTTAACATTGAATCAGGTTTCTTTTTTTTTTTATTTAGTTTTGCTTTCTGGGGGTCACACGCAGCAATTCTCAGGGGTTATTCCTGACTTTAACCAAAAAAAAAAAGGAGGGGGGCATTTCAATCTGCCTTTCCCTATTTGCAGGAAGGCCATTCCCATCTTTTCACAGAGCTGAAAAAGGAGTACAGACCATGTTCAATGCATGTCCATTTGAAAGGACAACATTTACATTGTTGTGAGAACACAAAAAAAAAGTAAAAAAATTAAGGGTAGTTCAGATTACAGGAAGAAATACCTACATTGTGCAGATGAGGATAGCAGAAGTGGGAAAATGGCATGACTGTGCATGTAGATATTCAGGAAGGCAGTTAACAGTAGCCTAAAACCAAACAAAGACTGTAAAAAAAAAAATCCTTGATGGAGCCAAAGTGATAGTACAGCAGGTAGGGCATTTGCCCTTCATGTGGCCGACCTGGAGTCCAACCAGGAGTGATTCCTGAATGCAGAGCGAAAAGTAAGCTCTGAACATAGCTGGGTGTGGGCCTCCCCCCCCAAAAAAAAAAACAAAAAAGAAATGAGTGGCCAAATGGGTTAGCAAAAGCCCTCTTGAGGAAATGACATGTCAGCAGAATAACTTGGTGAAGGAGAAGCTATTTCAGGATGATGTGACCAAAGCAGAGAGAAAGTAATGTGGAAATCATCTGCCCCACAGGTAGGGGGAGGGTGTGGGATAGGGGTATACTGGGTTTTTGGTGGTGGAGAATGGGCACTGGTGAAGGTACGGGTGTTTTATTGTATGACCAAGACTTAAACCCGAAAGCTTTGTAACTGCTCTCATGGTGATTCAATAAATAAAATTATAAAAAATGAAAAAAAAATTAAGGTGGAGTTTATGCCCAATTCAGTCTGCTAATCATTGGCTGAATAAATAGCAGCACTTCTATATAAAAAAAAAAAAACCTTTCAGGGTGAAGAAACAATGTTTTGGCTTTTAAGCCCTTACATACTGTTGAAGGATTGGGGGAAAGTCCAATGTAACTAGGACATAGGAAGGGGAGCGTGGGGCTGGGAGACAGTATAGAATTTGAGGTGTATGCCTAGCATTTACCCAACTCTGGGTTTGATCTGCCACACCACATAGATCCTCCAGGTACTGCTAGGTGCAGCCCTGAAGGCCCCTGGGCATCACTGGAAGGGGGTAGGGGGGTAGGGGAACAGGGTAATCCCCAGCACCAAAGGGTCCAAGCAGCACTGTATCCTTGGGCCCTTACCTTCAGCCTCTGGCCTGGTTGGCTGAGAATTGCTGGTGAAGGTGCAAGGCCTCCTGAGCATCACTTGTTAGACCCTGTCCCACCAAAAACCAAGAGTGTAGTGCAAGCAAGATTGAAAGGATAGACAAGGATCAGGTAACAAGGGCCTTGGAAATCACGTTAAGGATTTTATTGTTGCTAGCCAGAATCTGGAAAAAACCTGAATGCCTGAGAACAGATGACTGGTTAAAGAAACTTTGGTACGTCTACACAATGGAATACTATGCAGCTATTAGAAAAGATGAAGTCATAAACTTTGCATATAAGTGGATCAACATGGAAAGTACCATGCTAAGTGAAATGAGTCAGAAAGAAAGAGACAGACAGAGAAAGATTGCACTGTGGGGAATGGGGCGGGGAAGAAAGATTGCACTCATCTGTGGAATATAAAGTAACAGAAAGGGAGACTAACACCCAAGAATAGTAGAGATAAGTATCAGGAGGTTTGTTCCACGACTTGGAAGCCAGCCTCACATGCTGGGGAAAAGGCAGCTCAGATAGAAAAGGGAACACCAAGTAAAGGGTGTTTGAAGGGCCCGCTCGGGATGGGAGATGTGTGCTGAAAGTAGACTATAGATTGAATATGATGGCCCCTCAATACCTTTATTTCAAACCACAACACCCAAAAGGAGAGAGAGAACAAAAGGGAATGCCCTGTCACAGAGGCGGGGTGGGGTGGGGTGGTGGGAGGAATGCTGGGATCATTGGTGGTGGAGAATGGGCACTGATGGAGGGATGGGTACTCAAGCATTGTATGACTGAAACACAAGCACGAACATTTGTAAGTCTGTAACTACCTCATGGTGATTCACTAATTAAAATTTTTTTTTAAATTTACTGTTGCTTTTGTTGTTGCTTTTGGGTCAAACCCAGCAGCATTCAGGGACTATATGGGATGCCAGGGATCGAACCACAGGTTGTCCACATACAAGACTATACTATCTCTCTGCTCCCAACATTTTTCTATGAATGGTAGAAAGTTAATAATTTTAAACACCAGAGTTCCATAGAGATTTGCATTTTTTAAATGTCTCTACAGTGTAATTTAAGTGGAATAACTGGTTAAGAGGCATTTGTCTTTGTATAGGGAACTGGAGAAGTGGGTACTTTGGCTAATTTTAGAAGCAGACCACAATGTTGTGTTGATTGACTAGATGCAAAATTTAAGGGAGGAGCAGTTGAGAAGGGATCCTGAGTCTCCTTCTGAGTAATTGTATAAAAGGTGGTAACAGAGATAAAGAACATTGCAGAAAGAACAAACAGTAGGTTAGTGGAGAATAGGATTTGAAGATGGGTTCAGTATTGGACCTGTGTTTGCAGTGCTAGAGAGAACAAAATAGGCAGATGGGTGCTCAGGAAACAGCCTCAATAGCAATAGAAATTTGAAATTTCTCAACAAATTGAGGATGACTGAGGTTCTAGATTATCTATGGAGTGTGTAAACAGATGAGA